GCTAGAGTAAGAGGTCTTGTAAATAAAGCCAGAAATATAGTATAAGTTATAAGATAATTTTGAATTAAGGTGACATTATAAACGAACTTCCAAGTATTTACTAAGAAATTCGTTATTGTCCATTTAGACGTAATAAAAATGTTGAAAATGGAGCATGCCATAGGCTCAGAATAATAACACAGGATGTGAGCAATGAATGGGTTCAACAAGTGCAAATTTCGATCAGAATAAGGTTTATTCGTAAAATAGCAGCAATTTTGGAGAACTAAAGTTACAAACATCAACTTATGATCTACGAGTTGACCATTAGCTCAATACCTAAAACAAAACATTATTCATTATTCATCTACAATTCTACAAATTACGCCAAGAATACTTTTGTAAGGCGCTCCTGTTTTATCAATGACAATTTGTATGACGTTTACTAAATAATATAATCGAAAAGTGGGAGATGTTATATTTAAAGTGAACAATTAAAGTGAATCTTTGAAAATATTGTAAAATTGCTTTTGAAATTTATATTGCTTTGTTTATATTACTATAAACAATATTTTTTTGTTTATTTAGGAAAACAAACAGTTATTTACAGTGGCTATGTGTACGACTTTAGCGACACTTAACGGCCGCAACATTGGAAGTTTTGACGCTTAAATATTAAATGTATTATTTTAGACAAAATATAAAAATCGTCAACTATCTATTAATTAATAATAAAAAAATACTGTGACTTGAAAACTAATTATCACCATTAAGAAAAATTCTAAATATATTTCAGCTCGGTTTATTTATTGTTTTATGAAATCCTATACAAATTGTTTTCAAATTTAACTTAAAATAATTGTCTTCAAATTTTTTTTATCATTATAATTCATAATGGATAAATAGTAATAACATCAATTTACTAGAAATAAATATAAGACAGAGCTCGCGATGTTTTTACTTTTGGCTACCATGAGCGCTGCAATAGATTGCGTTACTAGTACTTCGCACCCAGCGAATAAAATGAAACCTTATTTAGACCTGACAGTTCATTACTAACAGAGGCGGCTTAAACTATAGTGCAGGGTGTGCAATGCATTCAGGCGCCGCGCCGATGATGGTCTCTAATAAAAATATGTGTAAAAAGTGGGCTTGGGTAGGGTTGCTAGATTTTTTTCAACCTGTAAGGGACATATGCTCTATTGGGCAGAAAATACGGGATTTCAATGTCTTATCCGGGACAAATAAAAAACCAAATTATTTTCTAAGATTTTTTGTATTTTTCAGATGAAAGCGCATATTTTAACATTTTTTGTTAGTTGTAACTTATTTAGATACAATACAATAAGCATAACGGCTGGGTAAACAAAAGAAATTCTATTTAGTCAGTCAGTCAAATTATAGAAAAAAATATTTTTTTACTTCTATATAACAAGAAAAAGTTTAGATAACACGCATTAAAGTTGAAGAGTGGGGACTCGCTACATCACAGTTTTGTAGAAAATGTACAAAAGCGTGACGTCATTTGACATTATAATAATTTAAATTAAAACAATGTATTGCCGTAATTTCATGATTACGAAAAAAATAAAAAAAAACACGTTTAATAGTTTTGAATAAATAACCTGACGGCCAAACAAACAAAAATTAGTCGTGATACCTATGATAATCATAGTTAATTATGGATATTCATTCGCTTTTTGTTGTAAGTTTGGAGGACATTTGATTCGTACATAAGTGCTCTTTTAAACCATTTGTGAAATCGAATTGATATACGGGACAAAGTCGGTCCCGGCGGGACAGTTGAATTTATACCTGCAATACGGGACGTCCCGTGAAAATCGGGACGTCTGGCAACACTAGCTGGGGGGCGCCAGAGCACTACTTGCACCCGGGCGGGGCCCGTTGTACTTAAGACGAGTCTGATTACTAAATACGCGTCATGACATTTACAAATGTATGATTTTCATAAATGTAAAAAAGACGCTATTATCGCTTGCGTACTGTGTAATATACACACGCATGCACGGCAGGTTACACCAATATATCCAATTACTGCAATGTCTTCTGAGCCCTACCCACAATAAATTGCGGTTTATAGTAGAGTGAGGAAATTTGTCAGTTTTGTATAGGTAGTCTAACGTGCAGTTGACGGTACTATACTAGATATTCGATACGATAAGTGTAGTTATATTAAAATACTAATCGGTAAATTTATTACATTAATAATGATTACTATTTAGCTTCCTGGGTTCCAATTCTCGGTGATGTCGCGCATCTGGTTGCTAAGCAACCGTTGCCATACGCCACCGCACTCAACAATAATCATGATGTCTGCATTTTATATTTATTGTAAACTAAATATGAAAGAAATGTCGCATCGTCCCGTAACGTGGCAACCATTTCTGCAACGCAGACAAAGGATACTATCATTAATATTAAAATAAGCCATCATTTGGTATTTTAAAATAAAATTAGTGTATGGTGGAACATATCTAGCTATCATTAAAATGTCTGGTGAGTACAAGTATTGATTACTTATATGTAAAACTGGTCTACTGCTAGCAAAATACATGGTTTTAATTTAGTTGAAAGATGTTTATGGCTGTCGTCAATTGTTTTTATTAGTAATGCAGACTTGATGTTTTAACACCTATCCCGGATAACAATAGCACCTGTAGCCAATAAAAAGGTATTTGGTTTACTTGATATTAGACGTACTATTTAAAAAAGCTCAATTTATTAACACACTTTTCTAGATTTTATTTGGGCATATAAAGGAATACGACTTCTCTGAGCAAATCCTATTCAATATTCTTTAGCGTGAGATAATTGAGATTTTGTAACGTTTATTTCAAACAAATTTCAACACGTTTTAATGTAGAAACATAACAAACATAAAAATAACTTCGAAGAATTATTAAATAAAAGCTTAGAGCCACGTGCGGCTTTCTGTCACGTTTGAGGAAACCTTCACTTAGGTTTGCGTAACATGCTTCAAATCATTTCCATAACAACTAAACAAAAGGTGAAGATTTGTACAAGTCTCTTTAATCGGAATGAATAGATCTTAGTTGTTAGAATATTTTGTCACACGTTAGAGATGATACGATTCTAAACGCTTAGCTAAAGCAGCCAATTAACAATCTTTATTAAAAAAAAACATCTAATGTTGTCCTGCCCTGCGATTATGTAAAAATCGAGACCCGAATTCGAATTTACTCATGTGTCCGATTTCATGTCATTTAGTGTAAAAATTCTATTGATTCCATTTTTTCGATAAAATTAAAAAAACAAAATTGATTGAATATACGTATCTCAGATATTCTTTTCCTTTGTCATTTCGAAACTCACTTCACTTATCAAAAGTTATTACCGATCCAAGGTTGAGCGGATGCTGGTTTTTGTAGTGAATTCGAACCCGGGTGTGAATTTTTAGAGAATCGCAGGGCAGGACTGCGACTGCCTAGCTCTCTAGCCATAACCCAGAACGGGGTATGTATTTGTTCTTTTTAACTATTTTAATTATATTATTCAGGTAATCATACGAACTGTTTTTATATTCATTTAATGTTTGTTACAGTTTTTCTTATTACCCTCTAATAAATCAATTTTTCAAGCTTAGTCAGCCTTTTATTCATTTGCCTAAGCATCGAACCCGTTACAGGGCATCTTAGCGAATATTATAACGATATTTCGTTTCATTTTACTACATTGACATGTGTTTTTTTTGGTATGTCGATGGATAAACGACTAAGTTGTACACTGCTGTTAAATCAATAATCATCATTCTTCGTTATTATTTGTCAAAATCTTAATATGAAAAGAAATAGCTATGCTGTAAAGCGCCACTGATTCACTATCAACATTTCTGGAGTTCGATTTTCAACAATGTTGTCGAGTGTACATACAATAATCGAGCTGCTGTGATGTAAGAAGTAAGATTAGCACAGCGATAAAAGATAAATTTCTAGATAAATTTCTAGATAAATAAAGATCAATGTCTTTCTTTTTTATTTTCCCACTTTTTTCGATGACTTGACATTAAAACCATAAGTAAACAATTAAAGCTGCATGTAGTTAAATAAAACAACTCGGTAATAGTAATCAATTCTAAAAAAGGAAATTATTTTGCATTATATTCCACCAGTTTAAAACTAACAAATTAAACAAAAATCCAGTAAATGCCTATTTTACTGTACTTTATTTATATAGTCAGTTAATTTACAGTAACAGCATGCACATTGAGAATGGCATGGCGGAAACCAATAGCTTCGAGAAGTTGTTAACATTTCAATTGGATGCCAAATAAGACGATAGGTTGTTGGCGTGTTCACTTAAATGGTTTTCCTTACAGGCCGGCTTATCGTAAGGAATTGCCGGCAATCATCGCCTAGACACTGCCAGTATCCATCTACTAGTCTAGGAGCAGTGCCGGGTCTCTGCTTCGTCGAATTTACAGGAGCTTTAGATATATTTTTGATTACATTTTTATAAATAGTACTTATCTGTGAAAGTTTTTACATTTCATCTTGTACTTTAAACCTTTTTTAATCAATTGAAAAATGTTATTCGTGATTAACCAAAAAGTTACATTATACATTAGCGGACTCCGTGTCGTCCGTGTCCAACTTAAATTAAACAAGCTGTTTTTTCGCGACTTTGCCCGCGTAAATTTTTAATCATTCTGTATAAATTAATAATAATATCTTAGCAAAATATAGCACTATATATCGCTGAAAACGTAACTTAAAATTTGTGAAAGCATTTTTAAAATCAGTCCAATAGCTTTCGAGTTTTATACAAACTAACACACAATCGAATTTCCTCTTCATAATATTTATTTGAACTTTGTGGTTTTCACGAACGAAGTTTCTCTGTTTAATTTTATTCAATTGTTTTTAAGATGAACACTCTTAGGTGTATGGGTAAAGGTTTTTGGTAATTATTGAAAAGAAGTAATTGGAAAATTATTTACCTACATTAGTGTCATATCTAGGCATTTCTCCTATGTTGCCGTTATGACAGCTTATCCTGAGCAGCTCGAACACGCCTCTATTTATACACGTGGACCTGAGGGTACATAACTTTATGAAATTTTTAATGCCATAGGTCTATTTCGTAATAAAGTAGTTTTTTATTCGGTCAGTAGGTAGGCTATATAGCTTATTATAGTTACGAGTACTAGTTTTCATTAATTTTTCACAGATATCCATTTTGTTTGATTGTTCGAAATAACGCCTTAAATAAAAGACAAAACAATAATTGATATTATATATAGTGAATGATTTCTTGTGAGAAATTAATGAAATTCACTTTACTCAAGGCATATAAATTTATCTTTATTTTAAATTGCCACGTTTCGCCAACATAAGTTGATGATGATGCAAACATTATTTTTTTTTCAAACAGTACCTATTAAGATTTGTTAAACAGCGAAAATTTAAATTGTCTGTGATAAATACAGATAGCGAGGAGAGTGACGGAGAGGGGGGCCTCGGGAACCTCAGTAGACTGATCGTGCGGCCTCCGGGACAAAGCGGGAAGGCCAAGAGAGGTCAGCTGTGCTTCGACGCGGCCTACGAATGTGGCAACTTAGGTCGCGCTGACCACATCACAGACCTCGAGTACGATCTTTTCGTGCGACCGGACACATGCCGTCCCAGATCCAGGTTTTGGTATAACTTCACAGTGGAGAATGTTAAGCAGGATCAGGTAATAAAATAGTTTTGTCAAAAGAGATACTTTAAGACAGGCCTCTGGGCTGGTTTGTATTTCGCCCAAAGAATTAGACTGGCTATTCAAAGAGGACATGCTCTCAGCTTTCTAGGCACCTTAACAAATGATTTGGCGGATATTTTTTTAGCTAGTATAGTTTTAGTTTTATATAAAGCTTCGATAAGTAGTCTGATTCTTGTATTAAAGTTTTAAAATGCTACAATACCTAAACGAATATTATATATCCAAGACCAAAAATTACACCAACGATTCTCATTTGATTAAGAAAGCGGCAAACTTTTATCGTTTATTTATTTGTAGTTTTAATTCTCCACCAATGATGCTGCCTTACGAATTTTCTGCAAATCCTCATCGGTTGACTGGTAGAGAAAGCCTCCGGCATTAAGTCCAACATTTGCTTTGATTTGGCAATAAAGAATAAATAAATAATTTATAAACAGTAGAGAAAAGTAACCAAACATGGAAAAGCATATCTTTTAAGGAAAATTGAAATTCCTTCTTAAATTATTCTTAATACAGAAAACAAATTCAATAAAGTCTAGGGAACCATCAAGCAGATCGAGGATTTGCTAATCTTATAAAAAATTAACAAACACCTTATTAGGAATAATTTAAGAAGGACTTTCAGTTTTAACAATAATACTATTCTAAAATTGATTCTAATAAAAAGCGGTAATTTAATTAATACCAAAGTGACGTTTGTTATTTGTCTCCAGAGAGTAATATTCAATATAGTTAATCTAGGAAAGGAGATCACACTGTACAATGGAGACATGACGCCTCTAGTCCGCTCTACATCACGACAAAAATGGTAGGTGAGCTTTTTTAATATACATACAATCTATTATTATATCAAATAGTAAACAATGGATAAAAATGTTACATTTTGATTCCACATCAAAACTTCCACTCCCATTTTCATCAATGGTGCTGATTTTCGTGATAAAATTTAACATATAACCTTCCTTAAATAAAGGGGTCTTAAATAGGTCCAAAAACAAAAGTTTTCACCATGGAGAAGGTTTTTACCATTTTTGACCTACTAATGTTCAAAGAAAAAAGTATTTTTTAAGGTTAGGGTTAGAGAAAACATAAACCGTTTGCCATGCCATGCAATACATAATACGAGCGCCATAGGCTGTTTGTTGCCTAGTTTGCCTATATGAACGAATCAGCCCTGGCTCTGAGCTTTAGATGATTTTAATTTAATTATTTAGTTTAATGTCTTTGGTATAAACCAAATTTGGTATATGCACAGTACCGCAGTGCATAGAGTAGGCACCTAACGTAAGTATACGTCAGTCAGCGGTAATGTATGTACATAAGTACATATGTACGTGAGTTGTAGCGTGCGTGGTGCCTGCCAGCCACCTGTGTCTGCTTGATGTTTCACGCGAGCACATTGATTGATCTACGTACTACTGTTGCAATTATAATTCAAAACAATGCGATCATATTATTGAAATAAATATTATGTCATATCTCTTAAGACCTGAGGATCTAAAGCGCAAATTATTTGTTTAAATAAGTATCTTTAGATCGGTCATTAATATAGTTTAACATTGTGAAAAATATTCGTTACTAAAAATATTACACAACTTTTAATGAGTCTTTGTAAATGAATGATAATATATTTAAAAAGATTTCAAACGTTTTATACATCCTACATCATTGAAAAACCTTAAACGAAAGTTGCAAGATCAGTGAGAAGAGGCTTAAATTGGCGTGAACATTTCAGAGCTACTGTTTTTTTAAATTAATTAATAATCCTCTCGAGTTAAAAAAAATTGCACCAAAAATATTATGTTGTCACGTATCTTATACAAAAACCACAGAGTTTTCAATACAGTGCTAAGCTACCCCTATTATTGTAAGTTAATATCCCCCTATTATTGTAAATTAATCCCGTAGGCAACGGATACCGCGTCGCTTGATCTTCTACCACAAGTCGTCGGCACATCGCGGACGCAAGATCCTCAGTATCGCTTTTGCATTCGACCGCGAGGAGGATGTATATCATTTCACGGCGGCCACACCATACTCATACTCTCGCTGTCAGAAGCACCTGGCCGCTTGGGAGAAGAAGGCACAGGGTTTCGCGGCTAGGGAATCGATTGCGCAGACAACTGTGAGTTATGTTTTCAACATCTTATCTGTCAAAACTACAACTCACAATAGTTGTAAAAAAATCAAAACTTAATTTGTACGTCAGTATCACGTTTTAAGTATAAGTTCACTTAGAAAAAAGAAGTTTTTTAATTTACATAGATAATTATTAAATCATAAGTATTATTTACTAGTATATTGATTTCTCACGCGCACTATCCATAAATGAAACGGTTTCATCGCGTTTGTATTAGTTTTGTTGACGTTTCGGACCCTGTACAGGGGGCCAATTCTACAAAATAAATTTTGTTTAAATCGAATCGAAAACGGATCGAAACCGAACGCAACTTCAGTTTTTAATGGTTTTTCTATTCTACAGAGTGACATACGATACAATTCCAGCTAAAATAGAACTGGAATTGTATCGTATGTCATTTTGTAGAATATGAAAACCATTAAAAACTGTAGTCTCCTTCATCTCTATTAAAATTCGAATATTTTTAATAGCCTCGCGTATCTTTCTAGGGATGATTTTTCTTCAGCCATAATTATTTTTGGGTAGTCAAATCTTATGCAATGCTTGGGTAACCCAAAATAAGTTACGGTTATTTTTTGCAACAATTTACCCCTTAAAATTCACCTTTTTATTACTTCTCGTAATTGTACTCTTATTAAAAAAATATGGAGAGTTAGTATGCTAAAAAAATTTATATCGAGAAAATTTAATATATATTTTTTAAATGATCTAAAATCAGTGACTCATATCTAACTCATTTTTCAGCAAAAACGGCGTATAGAACTAGTCACAATAGGAAATTTTGATTTGAAAGAAAATGAACATAAAGATGATCATTATACCACAAAGGGTAAGGTGGTGGAGCCGAAGAAACGAGTCGTCTTCATTATAGCGAGAGCCCATGGAGGCGAACCTGCTTCTTCGTTTATTTGTCAAGGTATTTAAATTAAAAGACCAACACCACCAACTATTATAATGCTCTATGTATATTTTAATTATGAATTTGCAAAATTTTTGTTGAAACAAATCTCCCATTCCAAATGTATATAAATTTAATTATTTACGTCACACGTCCGTCTTTAATAATTACATCATTATTAGCCTTCTAATATCCCTACTGCTGAGGCTCAAGCCTTTCCTATGGATGGTATCGAATAGAATAGGGATGAATGAGTCATGATTAAACGACTGCAGATGCAGCCGAGATTAACGGTTTAACGTGCCTTCCGAAGCACGGAGGAGATCGAGATATTAAATATTTGGTCACCCATCTTATGACAGGCGTAAGTTGCTTAATTCACATCGCAGTCTGAACGCGCTTACCACTGCACCAATAAGTTCCTCTATAACTACTACGTATAGCACACCAGTAGTTTCAGAATAAATTAGCTGTGATAGACGCATGGATAGAATCCTAGAAACGTTGAGATTTCCTTTTGTACCTCAAAAGGTAGTCTCAACGTTTCTAGGTTTCTATTACATTCTATTACACGTTTCTATTACAATTCCACTAAAACGATATTGGAAAGTCAGCAAAGAAAAAACAGAGTTACATGATGATACACTTTTTTTAAATACGCAAATGTACTTTATTGTTGATATTATACAAATTATTTTTTCTTTTCAGGGCTATTAGATTATTTAGTAAGTTCATCTGAAAAAGCTGTTGCGATACGGAACGGCATAGTCATACAGGTAAATATGCAATGATGGGATTGAAGTGTTTTATAGTTACATTTAATTTAACTTGTTCTCTATCTATCTATACTAGTAGTTTTAAGAGTTAAATGTGTATCTAAGTGCTACAAAGTACTATTACTTGATTTATCTATTTATTTGCCTCATCTAGGTAGTTCCTATGCTGAATCCAGACGGAGTATTTCTGGGCAACCAGAGGTCGGATTTGTTAGGTTCTGACCTAAATCGCTGCTGGAACCGTGCCACATCCTTTGCTCATCCAGCACTTGTCGCCATAAAGGAACAGCTCAATAAACTCACCACTGAAAAGGTTTGATATAACTCATTCACCATAACGGACTTGGACAGTGATCATTTTCATGATTAGTGTAATATGCTTAATCCGGCTCGAAGGATCATATTTATCTCGTACACAATTGATAATAAAATAAGATGGAAGTCAATTTGAACACTTATTTTTTAAGGACAATATTGTAGATATTGATAATTTGTTAATTAAATTAATGAATGATAATGAAAACGACTTATTTTTTGTAACAAACTATCGAAACGTCTACGTTAAAATCTGACTACGAAGAATATAGCTGCAGTTATTGTCCCAAATTAATTTTATTAATGTTAACATCTTAGTTATTTGAATTTTCAAAATTGAGTGACAGTTGAGTGCAGGTAGTTTTTTGGGCCTGCGACCAACGTCAACGTTGACCTATACGTCAACGTAGAGACAGTACAATTCAGCAGCTAAAATTCTAAATATTTATTTTTGTTTTAGCGTGTTCAACTAGATTTCATAATTGATATCCATGGAGATATTAGTCACGAAGGTGTTTTTGTACGAGGCAACTCCTACGACGACGTATACAGGTATCATCAGACAACTAATGGTACTCAAAATTCAGTTTAAGTAGAAATTACGCTTTTTCCAAATTGGGAGTTGGTATTATAATACACCGTGTGTAGTTGTAAATTACGAACACAATTAAAAAAGTGTGAAATTCCAAAAATAGAACAGAAGAGTACAAACACCTCTCTATATATTATATACAACATCTTACTGAAATTATGCCGGTATTTCGTTTTTACTACTTTGACATACATGTCAAACGTCATCGTCGTTAAAGTACACTTTAACAACGATGAACGAACGAATGATAAAAGTTGATGATTTTGGATTTCACAGCAGTTACCAATTTAGTCGTTTATCCACATAGAGATGTTAGCCTACCATAAGACATGTTTAAGTTAAGTAGTAGTTAAGTAGTCAAATAATATGAAAAAAAGCCATAACATCGTTAAAATATCTTATCCTATGACTAGAGTTAGGTGGTACTATCCCAGGAGTTATAACGTCCACCCTGTACGCCAAATTAATATTATAGCTTAATGTAAATAGCGGTAAATTTTAGGAATATAAATATAATAACAATTAATATATAAATAAGATAAATTCATAAATCAAAAAGTCAAAGTCAAAGAAAAATTAAATGAAGTATAATAAAATCTACAGCTAAAATAATAAAAGCTTTGAAATTATTCCAATGTAAGGTTCGAACGTCACGCTGTCCTGCCGAAGTTCCTATCGAGTCGCGTGGAAGCATGGCGGGCAGAGGCTTGCTTTTACAATGCAGACTCGCAGGCGGCGGGCACGGCGCGCCGGACACTGCCCACCGGCAGCGTCGACGGGTACTCACTGCTGGCGTCACTCGGCGGACGCAGACTCACGCCGAGAGGGCCGTATATACACTACACTGACGATGCTTGTATCATTTTCATAGTGCATTTTTAATTTCCACAGACGGCATTGGCCCACGTATCGGTTTTAAGATGTCGCCGCATCAGTTGTATTGGAACTGGGTGGTTGTGGCTCTTGTTTGTTTTTAGATTTCCATATGGATTAGTGATTTAACTCGAGTCGACTTATCTTATTACTTTAATTAAAATTATATATACTTAGGAATAAAGTGTAGATAGGTTCCGATTCTACTGAAACGGTTTTCACTGACGGGTAGGCTCAATAAAAGATCTATATGTTTATTATATGCAACGTAAACAGTAGATAATATTTCCCTGAATCTATGAGACACAGATGCAAAAATCGGTAGATCTATAGTCAAAGCCTTTTGCGACTACTACCGACATATAGGAGTGATTCCACCGCGCGTGGGGCTCGCGACCAAAAAGAAGGATCCTCGAGGACGTCGTCGCAAAAGACGTCCGGTGATTGAAAGAGAACGGTATGTATGGTGTACGTAATGAAGTATTTCGGAGCGCATCGGCGAGGTTCGTTTACGCATTACTAAATGGCATTATGCGCCAATGAATCACGCTAACATTGTCGAAACTACTTGTGTCATATAGGTCATCAGGTCGACGTGAAGGGGGCAGTTACTGCCCCCATTAAATGAAAAAAATGTGTAACTGCGTTTGAATTTGTTGGTAAGGTAATGCCTCTAATACACCGGTAACGCCGAGGTCAACCTTGGATGTTCTAGCTAGTAATGCGTAGACGAACGTCGCCGTAATAATATATGAATAGTATATTTATGTATATCTGAAATTGCTTGAAAAGTTCTATTATCTCTAGGAAACCATAATTTAAATTTTCTTGTTTAGTTTATTAGCTACTAACTCTTAACCGTCATCATATTATTTTTTTTTGCTAAATGTGACATAACTGCTTTGCGAACCCGAAAGCTTCGACTTGAAAAGAAATATTTTCCCGTGGGCTGACAATTATATTTTCTAAGTCGATAAGTGATTATTGTTGAACTCTGTATAATGTCTCAACGCGTATGTCAGATCGCCCAGCTCTTCGCCGGAGCGTCGCGTGGTGCGGCCGCGCATACTGTCCCCGCCGCTGCCTGTTACGTCACCACCTGCACTGCGCGCGCTATTACCGCGCGTCTCCAGGCACGCGGTGCTTCGCGCGAGACCGAAGACTGTACCCGATATGGAGACTATTCTTCCAGTCATCACCGGTATGTTATATTCGTGTGACTTATCATTATGAGCTGCTAAGGCATTGATTTCCTCTATTGATGGAATCAAACAGGATAGACGGGTGTTGTCTGCCGATGCTGCTGCCGAGCGTAACGCGTCGTTAGAAACGCTTTAATGACCTATCCATGACTAAGCCTTGCAAGTCGCTTACGCTAACCGCCTCACGAATGGCCTCTTAAACTCGCGTTATGTTTGAATTATGACGACTCTTTTTTTGTAAATTTGAAATCACAATTGCAATGTTGCTGTATAAAGGCCTGCATTGAAAAGGTTACCCAACAGTTATTTAGTTATGGCTCGTTCCCCGTTATTGCCCCTGAATATTTGGTTTGGTCTGAAATAAGTAAGCTAGACCCTCACACTAATACGATATTAATAATATTGATTTGCCATCAGGAACTACAGTGAGAACTCCTCGCCTGGCAGTGGTAGATATGAGCGCGTACATCCGCACTCCCAAGGGTTATGATAGGCCTAGAGGACATATTAAACATAGGCTTGCACGCCCCCCGCGACCGTCTCATGCGAGGTTTACTAGCGACGAATATGACACCCAAGAATCAGACTCTTAAAATGTATACGACTTGAATATATTTAAATTAGATTTTTTATTGTATATAACTTCATTATTTGAAATAAAAATCGTTAATTCAAAATATTATTTTTGTATTATTGCACTATATTAAATACTAATACTTTGTACTCATACACTCCAATACATATTTCCAATAACGAAATACCCTATAAAGGAAAATAAAGGAATAAGGAAAAATGCTTACAAAAATGAACTTTATTCCTGGCACTCCGAGATGGGACAAAGCGGATTTTTTAAGAATCATTCATTAAGAATATTTTTCGGTATAGCATTGTGAATTCAAAATTAATCAAATATAATAACTAATAGGTATTTCAAGTTAAATAAAAAACTATCTCAAATTATCGTATTATATTCAGATTCTTACAGCTTTAGGCCCTTGAGCTTTAGCCCTTCAGGCGCACTGGTGACTTTTTCAGCCAGTTGCACAAACGTCCGTTAAAATAGTCGTTAGTTTAAAGCGACATTACCCATACAAATTTAACGTTAATTACTGCTTAAAGGCGTCATTAAACCTTAATGGAGGTTTGTGCAACTGACCGTGTCTCATAACCGTGCTTGGAATCGTTGCGGTAGCGCGCGCTTGAAATCGTGACAGTAAAAACCTACAGGGATGTAAGAGCACGTTGACAGAAACAGTAAGTTACGATGACCAAGTCACCAGCGAGGGCGTAACCTTATATGCATAGTATTGATTGAATGAATTCATTTTATTGTTAATGTATAGTTTTTGTGAACTGAAATCGAAAAATCTAGTCTACCAATATTTTGATGTAAAATTCTGCACCTTAGCACGAATATACGAGCACAGGCAAATTTTTTTTGGGAATTTTAAGGTAGATGGCGAAAATACTACACTATATTCAGTATAAAAATTTAACATTTATTCGATACGAATCCAATTTTACATTGTATGCAAGCTATTACCAAAAACTAATAACTTTCGAGGCATCGACTGATTTCCGCCTCGTCGCCGGTAAATTACAATAATTCATACAATAATACAATGAAACAAACATATTTTTATTTAAACATATAATGTCCAAGCTTTTTCATATTTACAATCACTATCGTCTAACTAATCATTCAGTCATCTTCCTTAGAACAAACTTATTGAACACTATTATCACTACATCTTCTTCGATCATAACAGCAAATGAAAAAACGAGACTGAGTATCGTCATCGAGATTTATTCTCTGGACAGTTAATTCATGACAAATTTGGTTAAGCGCAAACCGGAAACCTATCAGTACAGAGGTGACGGGAGTGCGCGAGAACAGTAAGTTAGCAGAGACGAGGAACGCGCCTCCCTAATAAATATCTTTGGCATGAACCGAACGGGCCGCAGACTGTCACGCGCGGTCGAACCGCCCATCGATCGGTCGAACGGTCGACCAACGCGTACCGGTCGAAAATCGACCGACCAGCGGGCCACTCTGCGCGAGTCGACCGCGGGACAGAGCGATTCGACCGGACCGCACATGACTAAAATTACAGACGCCGACCAAGACTAGTATTCGACACCGGCCGAATCGCATCGCTTCGGATGATTTAAATCGTCCATGAAAATCCGTCGATTCCAAAACTGTAGCCTAATTGTCCAATTTTAAAATCTATCACAATTCCTTTCAATAGTACAGCGGTCGTGATAGTGATTTATGGAATAGTGACATTTTTAAATCGCAATCGTTTTTGGAACGAATGACGATTTGAATGAAATAAATGTCATAGACGATTCATTTCGTTCGACATTACCCAATAGCTTCCAAATAAATTCGTAACTATCACTTCGCTTGGAAAATTCCGATTAACGTCAAATAACGTTATCGTTCATTTAATAGTTTTAAAAAACGTCGCGATTGCAATCGCTATCACATGTCAAAATAATTGTAGCGTGAAGTTGGTAAATATCTTTCAAATGTCAAATTAAAAGTGATCGCGAAAGATTTTAAAACAAGACAATCAGGCCACTGTTCACGGACGATTTATATCCCGGGACGGGGTGCACGCACTATTCTCGGCGTCTACATTTCGCCGTATGGTGTATCACTACGAGGGGGTAGCGCGGGGGCGCGGGCGCGCGGGCTGCAGCCGCGGCCGGGTCACTCCCAGGCGTCGGCGTCGGCGTCGGCGTCGTCGTCGGACAGCGTCACCAGCTGCATGAGGTCGGGCGCGGGGGGCGCGGCGGGGGCGGCGGGGGCGGCGCGCGGGGGCGGCGCGCCGGCGCGGGCCGCGCGCTTCTGCCGCAGCAGCTCCTCGTCCGCGGCCGTGCGCGGCTTACGGAACTCGTACACGAGCGGGAAGATGCGCTCCACCGCGGACTGCACGTCGCTCACGCTCCGAGCTGAAAGTGTTCAGACTGTCACCGGCCGAACCGACAGACCATTACTCCTGTCCGCGTCGCGATCGGTTAACGGTTTCGCGACTAATGATCGGGAACGGCTCTTGACCAGTGACCGCGAAACTTTACCGATTACAATATAAACTCTATTATCGGAGCGCTTTAGGTTGAGTACGCTCAAACTATGAGGATACTCGTTCGCAGCGGTGAACGGATTGTGGTGTAAAGTATGACTTATATGACCTAATCAATTTTACTTTCTGATAGATTGTACACACAATAATTGATTTTTGTTTTAGACAATTTGGAAAATAGAAAAAGCATGAATAGATGATCTGTATATCTTTCATAAACTGATTTTAAAGTTCGAAAATGTCTGACAAAAATTAATTAATCTAAAATTATCTTCAAAAGTACGAATGAAAAAAGTAGCTTAATTTTTATAATCGACGAATCGTTTTACTCCGAAACTTAAAACGGTATAATTGTTCCTATCATCAAAACTCTCGACGATAAAACAATACCATAAAATCAAGGGCAAGTTATTGTAATAAAGTTTGAATGTAAACAATACGTTACTAAGCTTGCGAAGGTATATTTTTAAATATTCTTAGAAACTTGCTGTGTGGTATTTTATCGATAAATTAAGATATCTATGAAACTCTTGCAATAAATCACAAACATAACATACATATATTTCCAGTTTACATAATACGGTCGAGTGGCAGTTAATAACGGCTATATTTTTAGCAACTTTCTCAAAGTACGTCACCGTCGGGTTGACCATAAATTAATGATCTTGCATTCATTATCTTCCCTTTCATATGACACGAGACATTCGGCTTAGTTTGCCATTTATTTACACTATGATTCAACAAAACTTTAGCACTATGAAATTTGTATTTTTTTGGATTGGCAGTGAATATATGTAACGGTTTCTTTTAAGAGGACTTAATCCGTATTACATGTACATCACTGCCAAAGCAGTTGCGTCTGCATAAACTGATACGATGTCCGATCACAAATGTTTCGCGGCTTATTATAATCAAATTGAGGCATCAATCATTTTCTAAATTATAAATATTTAATAAGCAGGTCTATCCATTTGACAGGAATTGGCTGAGATATAGATGAGCTGTAAGGGATTTTGGCTTTCATAAGCCAAAAAAAAAATTTAAGTGCCCGCTTGAGATTTTCAAATGCATATTCAATTAATGAAGGTTATGACTAGCACCCTTTTTATGGAATTGTAACTGTATGCATTGTCAACTTGTCCTATTATTGAAATAAGTTTATTGCAACTGAGTCCTAAAAAAATTAATAACTATTCATGTTATTTCTTTTTCCAAAATATCAAATAATACACTAAATTAAAAGTGCAAGTTTGTCCGTAGGTATTAGTATTTTCTTTCTCTAATATTATAAAAGGTTAAGTATTCTAACTTTGTTTGTTTATGGGGAGTAATCTTCGGAAATACTGATACTACTATGAAAATTCATTCATGAGAAGCTACAGGTGGGTTATGTCACCTGGCCATAATTTGGTCCAAGTCGTGGAATAAACTGGTAATTTATATTAAAGTATTAAAAAAGACAAATATAAGGTGAATGATACGAAATTTAATTATTAAATATATATAAGCATACCTGTGATAGTAACACCACCGGTGGAAAATATTTTCAGTGTGGCTTTAGGATTATATAATTTATAAGTAACACCAGGATGCAGCTCTGGTTCATAACTGAAACAGAAGTACATACAGTACATCAATTCCCACATATCTATCTACACACAACCACTCTTGTTATATAACAGTTGGTATAAATTATTATATTTGATCAACTTTGCATTTATAATGCTATACTGATATCTTAATTGATAAATGCTTAAAAATCACCTGACATTCATCAGTCTTGTCAGGTTCATTTGTACCCTGTACAGGCAGCTCAATAGTTAGAGCCTTCGCCCAGATTACGAAGGATTGTGGGTTCGCATCATATCTCGGGGTACTTGGGACTGGTGAATTTTTAAGTATTTTCCATGAATGATAGATAAGATAAATTTCATATGTTATTTTTCATTAACTATATTATCTATACTAATATTATGGAGTGAAAAGATTTGAATGGTTGTTTGCATTGGATAGTCTCTAGACCCATTGGACCCATTTTAAAAATTATTTCACCTATGGGAAGCTACATCATACGAGAGTGACAGAGACTGTGTGCTGTGTCACAGGAATACAACTAGTGGCTTATAATTATACTGTTACACTTCTTGGTTAATTAAGGACTGGTTAGTCTGTCTTCTACAGGAGGAGAATGATAACACCCATCCCTTCAGTGTAGTAATCCAGGATGAAAAGCATCTGATAGGCTTAATTTTTTTTATCATGCAGATTAGCACCAGACGTTATAGTATGATGGAAATCACATTATAAAAATAAAACCCATTTACAGATATGATACGATTTTACAGTAGCAATATGAAAATTGTCATTTTCAACACATCCAAATCATGGAAACATTAAAATCGTAATGGTTCAAACAAAACCTAGAATTCAAGAGCAAGCTCAGGCATTGACATTTAAGATATGCTATATTACAAGCCGTTTGGCATGACAAATTAAACAACATACATTTCGAATCAGGGTGAATGAACCATCATGTCCACCAAGGTTAATTAATAAAATTTACAAATGATAAAGTTTGAGGTCAGCGACCCGTTTTAACTACACAAATTAATTAAAAAAAAAAAAAATACTCACTCTGCCTCTTTGTATTTATTGGAGAATGCAATTATGCGAATGCCAAACGGCATCCGACATGTTCCTAATACGTTGACTACTCGGAAGTTCTGGAAGCGGACCTGGAAGCCCAGCTTCTGTAGCGCACGTGCGTACCGGCGCGCCGCTATCTTCGCCTGATCTTCGCTTGTGGCGCCCGTGCAAGTCACACGCCCCGAGGACCATATCGAGGCGGTGGTGTACGGGCGTCGCAGCTTCATGGTTACCATTCCGTTCTCGCGGCGGAACTCTACGTTAACACCGTTCAAAGCTATCTGTCTCAAGTTCAGGTGGCACTTAACACTAAAACTGCACACAACATTGTTTATCATTATGTCTATTTCGGGCGTGTCCTCTTCCTCTTCAGCGGCTATGGGCGGCGCTAAGTCGGCGGGCGCGGCGGCGGAGCAGCCCTGTGGCACGCTGGCCGCGCCCGCCTCGCAGTACTCGTGGTCGGGCACCATGTGACTGGCGACGCTGTGCGTGGATATGCCATTGCTCAACTCCTTGATGCCGTTCTCTTGGATGAGCGTAGCCATGGCCTCCACGCCGTGCTGGAATAAAACAGTTACAAGCATAATTATTATTTTCAATTTCTGCCAAAGTATCTCCATGAAAGTATATTTGGTACTGAATGTAAATTGGTAGCTACCAATAGGTATCATTGGTAGTTATTGGTAGTATTTATAATTTACGCTACAATTCACATTGAAATTTGGACAATATCACCATTGGATTATATAAGTTATTAGCATTTCTATATTAACTATGTACATAGAAAGCAATTCTGTTGCAAAAATTAGACTTAGAGTTGTATTATCAAACTTCCTTTTGAATTGTAAAAAAACTAAGATAACTGTTCTACACTTATTTTACTATAGTATACAGGAGAATAATTTTCCTCTGATTACATATAAAGTTAAAATGAACCTAAGGTAATATTTTTTTAGTTTAAAGAGTGGCACAACAGAGTCCGCATCGCAATAGACAGTTAATTAATTCACTTGTAATAAATGTTGGCATAATATTTATTAAAATTTTCAACAATCAAGGTCATACTTCAGTCCAGTTAATAGTTACCACAAAAAACCATAAGAATACTTCTAAATCTGCCTTATGAAAGTTGAATTCATGTTGAAAATTATGAAAATCCAGTCACAACATATATTCAGACAAATAGGTGAAGGAAAGAGACTTTATTTAACAATATGTAGATTAAGTAAGTTTTTGTTCAAAAAAGATCAAGGACTTGATCAAGGTCAGCTCGCTTGCTCTAAAAGTTATTGGGACAGAACATAAAAACCAAGTTATTAGATTAATTATTCAGTGCACACTTGAATGGTCCAGTATTAATATCTCCTACTCATTTAGGATGTATTTTAACTGACAAGCAAAACTGGTAAAAGAACTCTTAACAGAGTAACAACATTAAATTTTTGCCAAAATATTTTATTTTATTGTTATATTTTGGCAAAATAATGTCTGCACAACATGGCATACATTATCTTATTAAATAGTGAGTGAGATTATAACAAAGCAAAGCCTATTAATTCCATTGATTGCAGTCCCTAAAATAATCATTGACTTTATATAAGTAGTCAGACAAAAATAGTATACAGATTCCTCGTCATATTAAAATAAATGTCAATCTTCAGCAGGAAATGAATCATACAATTTTAATCAACCATTGATTAAATAAATTCAATGTTTGTAAAGTACAATTATGCAGGTTATCGTAAGCTCAACCAACAAACCATAAAGAGTTTATTGAAAATTGTTGATTGCGCAACAATAGCCTACACCAAACATGAAACAATACTATGTGTTTGATTTCCAGTATAGTATACCTACATTTAACTGCTTACATAAAGATTATGTATGAGAAACTATTTTTTTATAAAATATGTAGTTGACTACATCAATCAATATTAGAAATTAGAATATCAATCATACTGAGATGTTTTTAAACTCAATATTACATGATAAGATAACAATATGATACATATTTCTGTATCAAAGTTAGATGAACTGTATGTAGTGTCTATCTTTACCTGAAAATTGTATAACCAATATATTTTCAAAACTATAAGTTCAGAAATTTCTGTATATCAATTGTAAAGCCCAAATTTTTACATCATAAGTAAAGTGACTTAATTTGGGCCACTTCCTACGGCAGGCCGAGTGCAACCAGCGACATGACACTTCGCACAGCTGACTGGCGGCTGCCCGCCCCCACACCCCGCACCCCGCCCCACATCCTCGACACCCTACACCGTGTGCCTAGGATCAGCACTCGCTGAGAACTTGCGTTTTAATTTGAGCCATTTTAAGCCATTATACAATGACCGAAAACGATCAACGTAGTGTATAATAATTTTAAACAGTTCATGCATGAGTATCAATTTCCTCGTACGTTTGTAATGTTAAGCTCTAATCTCAAGTCCAAGTGATTAGTTCGGTATACTCCGTTGGCGATTATAGCAGAAATAAGTGTCAGGCTCAGCAGTTATTGACCCTTTAACGACCTGGATCACACGTGATTGGGAGTACAAAGAAAACGATCCTTTGTCACTTCGCAGATGTACTATTTAATAATTGTAAGCTGACTTAAGATAGAATATAGATAAGCTTTGCAAATAGCTATTATAACTGAAATTGAAGTTGAGAGTAAAATACCACGACAGGAGTGATCTTGAAAAAAAATGGGGCACACTTGAGTAAAACAGTGCCCGTTGAGCGCACATTCCAGAGAATTATTGGTATGGTAAAACTATTGGCAAATTTTATATAGGAAAACAAACTTTACCTGGTTAAGCTGATATATTTGTCACAATTATTTTTACACCACCAATGAAGTAATAATTTTCATCTCAAAATTAAAGTCCAGATAACGATCCCCTCGCGAGGGACAAAAGTTTCACACAATCTTAAACTTTGCACAAAAACCAATTAACAATGAATATAAAAACAATATCTAGTAGTCCGCAAATTGTTTCAAATCAAGCAAAATTAAAAATTTATGCACATCCTGCTGAGCACCGCCATATTCCATTTAGGCGAATGATGAATGAATGAAAGTTCAAAAAGAGGGCCAGCCAAATAGGTGATGCGAACGGAGAACGAGGGTGAATGAATGATATCCTCCGATCATAATTTGTTGTCTATGGTCCTATGTGTTTTTTTTAATCTAAAGGAAATACACACGATACACGACCTAGCGACACTCAAATACGAGGAGATTTTATTATTTCTTTATTATCGATACGTAATATTTTTATAAGCAGTGAGTATTTCATATTTTATTACAAGCGGTAACAAATCAGACATGTTTGAGTGTCTTTAATAACACATCGAAGAATTTAAGTTAAAATAAATAAATACAAAAATGGAATCCCATGGCATTGAACACTCATAAATTAATACACTGCAGTAAAACAAACTGCTACTGTTTGCACGTTCATTTTGTTATTGATCGCTATGAACGATAAAAAGCCGAAGCCGATGCTTATGAGAGTGAACGTGCTGTCTAGTGACTATTATAGTAAAGGCAATGAAAAATTAAACTTCATCAGCTGAAAATAAAGGTCATTTTTGTATATCTGTGCAGACAAGGTACAAAATATCAGATATGTCTGGTTTCGGCATAAAGAATAGCAACTTTCGCGTTTTACAAATCTTAGAATAATTATACAAATATCATGCAATGGCGAAGTATTTTAAAAAAAAAAACGAAAGCACTAAAAAAAGCACCTCCACTAGACGTGGCGACTCTAGCAAAAGTTGCTTTTCGCAGGAAACGAATGGACCAAAGACAGTCATTTCCGTTCCTATTAACTAACATATTAAAAAACTTAAATTTGAAAAGTTCGAAATTTAGATATTAATACAAATATTAAAAAGTACAAATAGAACATGAGTTGTTTATTAAGTTTTGAAAACTAATTTACTTTTAAACATGAAAGACAACCGGTAAGGTTGTCTGGAGAAATCAAGAACGTACCGTGGCGACATCTAGTTTCATTTCTGTAACGAATGTTTTTTTAAACACTTCCTCATTGGATGTTGACATCGAAAACCTCATGTTTCTTTTCAACTACTGAGATTTTTATTAAGTAATCTAAGTAAACTAGTTTAAGCCTAACAATTTTTTTACGTGACGTCATTCTATTATATTCTCGATAGTGTTGTTATTTATGATCGGTTCTATTTATTGGCCTGCCCAATAAATAGAACCGATCATAGAATAATTCAGTTGCTCTTCTTTCCATTTGAGTGCGTAGTAGAATCGACACACCTTACAAAAAACACAAAAAAAATTTGTTTTCGAAAGAATAATCCTTTTATTAAAGTTTTATTCTACGCCTGATTCAATCATCATCATAGCAATGATGATGATTGAATGATCAGTTTGTTCTTGTTTTCTCAATGTTCCTCATTGAGAAAATTTATTCATTGAGAACATAGTATTTAAAAAAATAAAGGAACTATAAATATTTATGTCATTAGATGGCAGTTCAAATTATGGGATCTAAATGACAATGACGAAGTATTTAAAAAAAAAAAATCTCCCGAAGTCAAACTAGATGTCGTTACGGTACTTTCTTAATTTCTCCATGACAACCCTTCTGGTTTTCTTTCATCTATAAAAGTAAATTAATTTTCAAAATACAATAAACAACACATATTCTAATTGTATTTTTCGTATTTGTATTGATGTCTAAGGTTCGACTTTGCAAATATCAGTTTTTTCATATACTAGTTAATAAGAACAGAAATGACTATCTTTAGTACATTCTTTCCTGCCAAAATCAACTTTTGCTAGAGACGCTATCTAGTGAGGTGCTTTTTAGTGTTTTCTTTTTTTTTATTACTTCCTCATTCATGACATTAAACCAAAGAGAATATAATGAGGAAGTATAAAAAAAATTAAGAAACTACATAACATAATTTCATTAAAATATTTTAATTATTAATATAAAATTTAATAACTGATCTTAGTTTAAAAGATCTTCATTTTGAAAGGACAACTTATTTCCTCGTTGTACTTTGTATAAACGTCATTCAAGCCAGGAGTCATTTATTTATTTATTATAGTATTCAAAATGACGTACATCATTTACAATTATCACACATTACAAAAAAAGTCATACGTATGACCTATGCAGGTCACAGAAAACACCTAACGCATCATGCGAGTCCTCTCAGGAATTAAAAATTTCTTGTATTAACTCGAAACCGGCTTCGGTTGTTAAGCGACCCCTTGTAAAATCAAATTGTTGTCGATTCATAAGGTGCCAATACCATCTATAATACAGTTAGCTGCATAAACATACGCAAATATTTTAACTAATACCAGCTACCGTAAGTAATTTTTAAACTAATATAGATTTCTTGAAATACATTTAAGCACCTTTCCCATGCCTATCTATTAAATGATCAGATATCAAAATAAAAAAACTTGTAGAAAAAATATGAAACGTTTTTTTCGTCTCCTGTAAGATCGACTTTTTGTAGATAGATGGTCTTGGTTCTTAAGCTTTGATATTTTATTTGTATTGATATCTAAGTTTCGAACCTTACAAATTTCAGTTTTTTAATATGTTAGTTAATAGGAACGGAAATGACTGTCTTTGGTCCATTCGTTTCCTGCAAAATTCAACTTTTGCTAGAGTCGCCATCTACTGGAGGTGCTTTTTTAGTGCTTTCGCTTTTTTTAAATACTTCCTCATTAAAATGAATTTGAAAGAAAGATATTACAAGAAAGACGAAACAATGTCATATTTATTAATTTTCGATTCTCAATTTTCTTTTATTACATCAGAAAGAAAATTTGAACGAATATCATAGACAATTATCTGAAATTAGCTTAGTGAAATCTAGTTTCATTTTAGAACTAATTTTTATTTTTTAAATACTTCCTTTAGAGATTTTAGTGCGTACCCGACGTGAAATTTGGTCAATGGATATTCTGCCATCTCTTCAATTTGTAGGTATCCAACGTATATAATTAGTACATTTTTTTCAAACATAATTAAATCCCCTCAGTTAAGTATTAAAGGATATCGTTAATAGTCACCCATATATTATTTTGTCGTCCGATGAATAATTTTCTACTAAAATCTATTATTAAAAAAACTGGGCAAGCGTACTAACGATGAATTAACCTGATTTTTTGTTCTTTATGGGATTACCCATAAAAAAACGCAAAAAATCAGGTTTGTTGTTTTCTAATGGTTGTTCGAAATTTTCGAGTTAAATAATTTACTTGTAAAGTCAACTTAAGTCTGATAGTTTTCCTATTAAATATAGTTGACAGGGATGGGGGACATTGGACTCTAACTAAAATTGGCACTTTGAATGTCTCCCCACACCCCTAACATTTTTGTAAGACCTATCCAATGATATCCCACGCAATGAGAAGATAAAAAAAAAATCTCAACTTTACATGTAGGGGAGGTGGGAAAAAATATTATTTCAAGATTTTATTTTACCACTTTGTCGGCGTGATTAAAGTGTAAACCATGCTTAATTATATCTTTCTTATACTAATAGCTTTTTAAGCTAAGTCGCAGACCGACGGACAGACAGACAGATCGCTTGTTTGTTTGCATTTAATAGGCTTTAAAACTATTGGACCGATTTTAAAAATTATTTCATCTACTTATATCAAACGCGACGGACGTATGCCATAATTTATGCTGGAGAAGTAGTGGGAAAACAGCTAGTTTGATAGGGATTCGTCATTCAAAAAGGAATCGGTGATCAACATTTCTTACGTAAAATAATATAAATGAATGTAAAATCTGTAAATTTTTGCTGATATAAACATGTCGTCCATGTCATATGGTGAAATGCACATTTTGGTTGGTTATTTATATAAACAAAATTTTGTTTATACAAAACTGTAGTTTTGTTAATACAAATCTAAAACTTGATTTCGATAAAATTTATTTAGGACCAATTCGGGCCCAAAAAATACAAAAAAAAAAAATTGAAAATCCCTCTAATACAAAAAAATTAAAACCGGTCAACATACATAAAATACATTTCCGCCAAAGATACATAAAATATATTATAAGAAATAAAATAAAACGATATTATTATAAACAAAAGTTTTGTATTCAATAGAAGATTATACTTAATAAGCAGAATTACAAGTGTATAATATCTGTAAGAACATACATAAATATATTTTTTCACCTCTTTACCAATCAACGCAATATATCAACCTTCTAAAAATACAGCCTCCTTCAGCAAAATATCTATTTGCAAATCAAGCTTTAAAATGCAAAATCCGACAGACATATACAGAGTTTAGACGGCTTTGAGCATTTTTTGGTCCTCATTTTCTTTTTTATCAAAATAAATCAGTGAATGTTTAATTATATAACATCTATATTTTTTTTATTAGGTACGCATTTTTAAATTAATATGGTACAATGACTAAATTTTATAAAGGGACACGTTGTCGAGATACAAAATTGGCAATTAACATTCATTAGGTACCGTTAGGTCAGCAAAAAAGCGTCCTGGTTTATTCTAATCGCTTTTTTTATAAACAATTTGGGTGGGTTATCCACTAGACATAGTAAAATACGCAATAACTTATTTTAATGAATGTTCAAATATGTAAATATATTTGAAGTAATGCAGTCACAGCCAAGATCCTTTCCAATCTTTGAGGACGAGATCCGAATGATTGTTATGAAGACTTATGTTGACGATGCAGCGAATCACTTATTGAGAACTCTGGTGACTTCTGCAAGAGGTGTGGAGTAGGTACCTGGTTTGACTAGGTTCACTAGCTGCTCAGCAATTTCTGATCCCACACGCACTTGAGCCTCTTTAGTTGATGCTCCTATTTTATAAAGAAAAAAAGCTTTAGATGTTCCTATTTGCTTCCTAAACTTAAGTTATGTCATAAATAAATGAAATGTATATGTTAAAGGCACTATTTCTGAAATTTACCAAGATGAGGGGTTGCAACGACCGCGGGGTGCTGGATGACTTCCAGGGTGAGAGGGTCAGTGGGTGGTTCCTGTTCGAATACGTCGAGTGCTGCTCCTCCAACCTATAAAAATAAAGATGGCAGATGAAAATAACATTCATCTGCTTATATAAGTAGGTAATTTCTTTCTTTTTTTAGTGCATAATTTCCGTCAATTATAAAGTAACTAAAATAATAAAATCGACTTTAAATAATTAAAAAATAATAAAGCCAGGCGGTTGTTATTAATGACCGTCGGACTTTAATAAAAAAATCTTGACCATTTAAACCACCTTGTAAATACGTATTAGAAAAATATAAAACCGATTATTTTCTTGTATAAAATATATATTATTTTTAGCTATTCGTAAAGTGTTAAAATAACAAAAATCTTAGCAATTCAAAATAAGCGAGTAAGTTTACTTCGATGACATAAGTATGTCGTTTAAGTATTTTTTTTAATTTTTATGTATACTTTCAGGTATTTTTTTATTAAAACATAATTGCTGATCCGATTTAGATAACAGTTTTAGCATCACACTCATAAGCTTTTTAGTAATAAAACAAATCGCGAAGGAATCAGTGGTCATTTAAAAAAAAAAAACACGGAACCTCCTATGTTTAGATTTTAAAGTCAGTTAAAGATGCAATTACTTATCGATACAAAATAAACCGTTTTTTACCTGGCCAGAATTAAGTGCATCCAGTAAATCTCTCTCGTTTATGAGACCACCGCGACCGACATTTACAATCTTAATGCCCTTCTTGCACTGTTTTAGAACATTGGCATTGATGAAATCTGTGTGAAAATAGACAACAATATAAAAAACGTAAAGAGGTTGAAATCAAAGGTCAATTTGATTATATTTACGACTAAGTATTCACAGCATTTTTTGAAATAATGTAAAAAATCTTACTTCTGGTGGACTCAATAAGGGGAGTGTGTAGTGTGATATAGTCTGCAATAGGCCAGATCTCATTCAGCTCCATCTTGGTGGCGTGGAACTCTTTACACTGCTCCGCACTCACGAAGGGATCGAATCCAACGATCTGGGATAGAATATTTGTTTTATCTGTTATTCGTACTATATTATTATGTAATAATACATATCTTAGTGATAAAAAACGAATTTATGAGGTTCCATTGTTATTTCTATATAAGTACATACCTTCATGCCAAAAGAATGCATCCTAATAGCAACTTCTCGACCAACTCTTCCAAGGCCAAGTATTGCCAGAGTCTTTCCATTTAGTTCCGAGCCAGTGTACAACGCACGGTCCCAACGTCCAGCCCTCAACGCAGCCGCCGCTGGTACCACGTGCCTCGAAAGGGCTAGTGTTAGAGAGCATGTTAACTCGCATGCACTTAAAGCATTAGCTCCAGGCGCGCTGTGGGAGAAAATCTTTGGGTAACTTTGGATATATCTATAAACTACTTACTACGTTCCTTTTTATGATTGTCATCGTCTAACTAACCATTATAATCTTTTTTTAAGAACAGTTTCCTGTCATGGTTCTTAATTATGTCGACGTAAAGGTAAATAGTTTATCAAGAGTTGTTAAGCAGTTGGTAAAGATGGCGGATTTTATTGTCCATAATATAAACTTTTCCTGGACCATGCATTTGACAATATCGATTAATAATAAAGCTTTAGTGTAATGTGAAATGTGCTGCGACGTATACTGCTGTCGCCTGGTTTTTTGGAGATCGTACATATTTAAGTATTTGAGTCACAAATATAAATTATCACGATGTTCTATTTTGATGCAATATAGAGGTTAATCCCCGATTCCAATGACGTGAAACTTTTTACAGATGAGACTATTACGATAAATTGTTGCTCAACGTGTTATCACAACAAAAGGTTATCGGATTTGTATAAAAGTACCGCAACACTCGTATTTACGTATAGTAGAATCCAGGAAATTAATTATTTGTTGTAAATATCAGTGAAAGAATGTAATTTACTTGATGACACCAACTCCCTTGCTGCCGGCAGCTGCGACGTCGATATTGTCGACGCCCGCGCCGGCGCGCCCCACCACTTTCAGGTTGCTGCCGGCATCCAAAACCTCCTTTGTCACTTGTGTTGCTGACCTCACCACGAGAGCGTCGTGGTTCTATAAAGTAAAGGATAATTATATTTTTTTTTATAGATCAAACCTTTTTATTTGGTCTGTGTTTTTAACTAACGCCAAAAATTTTGAAATCGGTCTAGAATCAGCGGAGATACCTATAGGTGAACATATGTAAAAAATACATGACCGAATCGAAAACGAGGATGTTTGATCACCCTAGTTTTCGATTTTAAAGTCGGTTAAAAAGGTATATTAACAATTTGACCCGTATGAATGTAACTTCGATTCTTCTATGCGGAGGTGGATGTATGTATGATGGTTGCTCTTTACCCAAAACCTACTGAACGTATTTTGATGAAAATACCTTAATCTAGATTAAGACACAGGCTACTTTTTATCTCGTTAAAAGGTTCCCTAGGTATAGAAGTACCTACATGGGTAGGCACGTATTTTTGTGAAAGCTGCCTAAGATGTAAGTTAAATTACTGATCATAAAAATCTATTTAAAATTATCGTCAGTCTTTATTAGGTTATTTACGTGGGAGAAGCTAGTTGGTCTTAGTCTAGAAAGTCTGTTTTGAAGGTGGTTAAAAATATAAAACTGAGTGTTCAAACGACAGTCAAATCAAAAATAAATAATTTTTGTAATGTAAATAATATTTCCATTAGTCTTAAAACAATTTCTTTAAATAACTTTACTTTTTCTGTTATCAGAATGATATACAACGGCCACAGTTAAATTGATAACGACAAATGATGAAATCCAATATGAAATCAATAACTTATGTACTCGTAGTAAACAAGCTCTTTCCTTTAAGTATAATTTATTATTTCACTGTTGCTAACCGATCTTCTAAACTCAGAATAAAGAGATTAATTTCCAATGGAATTATGTTTTATAAATCAATATTTTTCAAGATATAATTTCGTTTTTTTTTCGTTAATAATATTGGCGATAAAGTTTAAATTCCAATTAATATATACAGAATCATACATACCGGTATTTCCTTGAGGAGTTCGGCCTTTGTAATCTTAGCCTTTGTGGTGACTTTGATTCCGTGAGAATTAAGGATTTCAGCGCAATTGGCTCCCACACCATCAACCACAAGCACCGATTTGATGTTCAGGACCATTTTTATAACTATAGAAAGACGGCTTAAAAGTTTAGAAAAAAATTTTATACCTCGTTATATCTTAATTGACGAAGGTTATTTTAATGTGAAAAGGCTATGCATTAAAATTCAAAAACTTATAAAATTATGCCGAAGGTATTAAGGACGACGAAGGATAGTAAAACTAGCTCAAGAAACCAGTTTCAAGCCTGTCGTTCTGATATCAATTGCAAGTCTGCCTTCAATATAAGAGCTAACCCTGCTTATTTCGCTTGTGTGAGAAAGCAAAACTGTTATCACTATTTCACCCTCACATTTTTTGTTTAAACATCTATTCCTTTATTAGAACCTTTTCACTAAGAATATATTTTCAGTATAGCAATGTGAATGCGGAAATGATCAAATATAATAAATAGACAGAACTTAAAATGCTGAATCGGTCCAACCGTTCTTGAGTATTGCGCCTGGAAATATGTTTTGTGATTAATTTTAAATTCCAAATCAATTAACATAAGCTAAGCTTAGTTACTGATATATCAAGGTACGTAACTTATTGTTAACGGAGATATAGATTTATAGCAATTACTATAAGTTGATGATTAAAATTACCAGTAACAAATTATTAACACAATTCTAAATGAATAAATTGTTTAGAACACATTGAATTATATGTACTAGAGATCAAGTACTTACGTTTCGTCGTTAATGTAACACTTAAGATTTGTTTTAACGTCTCGATTGCCCGATGCAGACTGGTTGCGCCTGCGCCGGCATATAAGTACTAAACAGGCGACGAGATTTTGCGCCCGACTCAATATGACCACTTATCATCACAATTAACGATCAAAATCCATTCCCAATCTTATCGTATTCACATTGAACTCGAATTTGAATGACCGATAAGTTTAAAATGATGTTCGCTCACTGCTAACACAGTGTCACAAAACATAGTGTACGTTGACCTGCAGTTTACGTCAAATGTAAATGAAGATCATACTTCACTTTCATCATTACTTACTCTTACTATATTTGTTTATCTTAATAAATAATTTACTTAAAAGAGTGGAATAATAATTATCTACAACTGTAAATTAATGTAAATATGATACAGTGACTAGGTATCGAGAAATACTGCTTTAAGTTGCAGATACATTAATTTATAGGATTCAGAAGAATAAATTCAGTCGAAGCATAAGACATTACTACTTTAAACCAAAATGTTTGATAAAATATATAAATTAAAATATATATATATTTAAAGAATATAAACAGATTCATGAGAAATATCGATAAAGCGTAGGTTATAGCTACGACTACGGCTACGTCCATGAGTTAGGCGGTTGCACCCCAGGTAGGTACTTTATAGTAAAAAACAATTGTGATAAAACTGATCGTAATTTGCTCTCTGTATTCATTATAAACTATAAAGTGATTTGATTATTGCATAATCTATGGGCACATTTTTCCTTAAGGAAGTAATAAAATATCTCTAGCTAAAATATACCTACCTAGCTGCCGTTATCTTATGTACAATTAGATAATGTTATCTGCGGTGTTAGTTTAAAAATAAAAATATTGACGAGTTGATTAAACTTTGAGATTCTATTTCTAAGCGGGATCGATATATGAATAATACAATATATAAAAAAACGACCATGTACGGACGGAGTCGGACTCGCGCACGAAGGATTCCGTACCGAAAACGAGCTAAATCACGTTTTATTCTATGTTTTTAGTATTTTTCGTTTTATGTTTGGAAATCTCAACTGTATAACTATCACTGTTTATGAGATACAGCCTGGTGATAGCAAAAAAAACACGTTTGTTGTATGAGAGCCACATAATTATTTATTTATTCTATTTTTTTGTATTTCCTGTTATAGCGGAAACAGAAGTAAATTATCTGTGGAGATTTCAACTGTATAACTATCACTGTTTATGAGATACAGCCTGGTAACAGACAGACAGCCAAATCTTAGTAACAGGGTCCCCGATTTACCCTTTGGGTACGGAACCCTAAAAATCATCACTAGCCCTTTTACGTCCCCACAGCGGGGGATCTGGCCTTCCTTATGGATGGTTAAGGAAGATGGTCCATTAACGTGTCTTCCCAAGCACGGAGGAGCTCGAGATATAAAAAGTTTTTTGGTCACCCATCCCGTAACCGACCCTTGCGAAAGTTGCTTAACAACAACGATCGCGGATCGCGGCGCTTATCCACTACGCTACAGATAAAAAACTTTAAGCTCAAAAATCTTCTATTATGCTAATTTAAAGATATTATTATTCTATGTCGTAACATAGAATAATAATATCTTTAAATTAGGTACATAGATCCATAAGGGTCATAGGTACCCAAGTGTTTACGCTTCAGCTTCTATATTAAATAAAACTAGCTTTTGAATCACTGAAAACCGCATTAAATTCCGCTGTCAACTTTAAAAGATCTCAACATACAGACAGCGGGAAGCGATTCTGTTTTATACTACCTATGTATAGATTTCATAATTTTTGCTGATATATAATTTGATGTCAACATAACAAAAATTATAGGAAAGCAAAATGTTTGATTATTATCATAGTACGCGACCTATTTTTATTTCTTCAATGACATGAAAAGTAGTCTTAATATTTTTTGTTATTAGGATGAATGCTTGTAGCACCAAAGCACGACGAACTCGAGAACGTTTTATTCTGCATTAAAATATAATAATTATGTATCATTTTTTACATATTTTTAAAAATGTTTTGTGTAATTAGAATTCACTGTCACTAAGTAAATTGTGATTTCATTTGTGATTGGATAACCAATTAAAAGCAAATTTTAATTAATAATGGAAAGTATTAAATATTTCAATTTGGTTTAATGGCTTTTCAATATGTTTTAATATTATATAGTATTAATACTATTAAGCGAATACTTATTTAAATTCGCTTAATAGTATTATTAATAGTATTCGCTTAAAATGGCGGTAAAGTGGAATGGATGTCGAATGGGCGAGGAATAGCTATAAAAGGCCAATCCAGCATTTGGTGTGTTCCTCTGGTGTATTTGCTGCAGTTAAGTAGGAAATTAACGAAAGCGCCGAAATAACTATCGATTTTTCATATATCGATAATTTTTTCCTAAGCCTACTCCGCATGAATTTTCCGGATCGCGAACACATTAGTGCACAACCCACAAAAAAAACGGTCCAGAATAGAGAAAAGTAAAATTCCGGTCCGTTAAATTCCAGACCGTGCACAGGCTAGAATTACCTACATATGGCATGACATATCGGACGGGAAAAAATCTGTCCGCCGGACCTGAAAATTCAGTGTAGTGCACAAGCGCCCTGCAATTTTCAGGTCCGGCGATCCGATTTTTTCCGATCCGGAATGACCCGAAAACCCGGATGAGTAGCTTGTGCACTTGTCCGTTTTTTTCCTGATCGCAGCGGCGCAGTGTAGGGCAGCTCTCTTTGAAGCTACACGTCACTTACGCTAGGTAAGATGAGATTTTTGGAACGTCGGTAATTGCGTTCGAAGACGTAGAAAGGTACCTAAAAAATGACAATAAATTGAGGCAAGACGAAAGCATTTTTTTTACTACTATCGGATGATTACTATCAGATGTAAAAACTTATACCCTTACTAATTTAGGGACAGCATTGAATAATGCTTAAACATACAATAGCTAAAAATATCTGGGACATCAGAATAAAATTACTGATACTGGTACTTGATGTTTACATTTATAAACATGCTATTTTTTTCGAAGTTTTGTAAAAACAACTTTAAGCGATTACAGAGATAGACTAAATCGATGGCGCCATTTCGTACACAAATTTAGTGTCGTATAAGCGGAGAATATGATCTTTAGAAATGATCTTTACGAGATCAGTTGACTGTATTATATATAGGCATCATTTTATACGCGTCAAAGAAACTACAGCTTCTTTGAGCAGAAATATTTTTCCCTTAGAATACTTTTTTTTTAATTTATTTATGACATACACAGTCATTTCAAATTTTATTACAATAATGACTTAAATGTGTTTAACAATGTAATCAGATAGACGCGCTCAGAGCTATTTTTTTTATTTTATTTAAATTCAAAATTTTACATATTTTATTATTGTTTCTATACGACGTTATTGTTATTGTTTCTATATGTAAAGACAACAAACGTGACATTGGCGGAATTGTTAAATGCAAATAGGCCATGAATTAAAAAAGAAAAGAAGACTTAAATGTGAAAAAGACATTGAGTGTTACTTAATTACTTCTGTTAATCTTCTGTTTATTCTTTATTATTACTTCTGTTATCAAATATTTATCTATACTTACCAAATGTCTTAAAAAATTTTGATAGTGACAAATTTCCAGGCAAACTTACATCCCCTATTTTTCGTGATAAAATGTAGCCATGTTTTTTCTTACAGTTAAGTCTTTTACTATATTAATTTCCATTAAGATGGGTTCAGTTGTTTAGGCGTCTAAGCGTAACAACACATATTTATCTTACCTTAAGTTATCGATACTTTTAATACGATTCTAAAATCTAGCTAAGTATTGATTCTAGAACCATACGCTGATCAAATTAGAACTATACCGAGTTTGCCGAAGCATATGCATTGATATTCACCGACTATATTAAATCATCATATAAAATATAGCATTGTATAATCCACAATAAATATCGATTATAAGTTTATTGGAAATTAACAATATCGCCGAAATAAACATCGATTTTACACAAATCGATAATTTTTTCTCAAGCCTATTCCTCATGAATTTTCCGGATTGCAGACACAGCAGTGCACAAACGTAAACACGTTTTTCAATGCCGCCATCACGGACCTGAAAAAACCGGTCCGAAATAGACAAAAGTAAAATCTCAGACGGTAAAATTCCTGACAGTGCACAGGCTAGCATTACCTTTATATGGCCTGACATATCGGACCTGAAAAAATCGGACCGCCGGGCCTTAAAATTCAGTGTAGTGGACAAGCGCCCTTATAATGAGAAAGTATTAAAAAAAAGAAAGTATTACTAAAGCACTTCCACTAGATGGCGACTCTAGCTAAAATTTATTTTTACAAGAAACGAATGGACCAATGATAGTCATTTCCGTTCCTTTTAAGTAACATATTAAAAAAGTAAAATTTGCAATGTTCGAATAGATATCAATTCAAATACGAAAAAGTACAAATAGAATATGTGTTGTTTATTGAGTTTTGAAAACTAATTTACTTTCATACATGAAACAAAACCGAAAGACTTGTCACGACATCACGAAAGTACCGTAGCGACATCTAGTTTGATTTCGGGTACTAATGTTTTTTGACGTGGATACGTCTATGTTTTCGTTCTACAGGGGGGTCATTCTGTGAGCAGGAGTATATGCACTAACGCCATCTATTGGCGTATAAGTGAACTATGCTTGCTCTGCAGGGGGAGGGGCATTCTGTCAGCAGGAGTATATGCACTAACGCCATCTGTTGGCGCTAGTGAATACTTTTTTCATTCAACAAATGAACGCAACGAATATTTATTTATTTAGTGTTTAGTGTCTTCAATTTTTTTATTTTTTTTTTGAATTATTCATTTATAAATGCAATTATGCCACAACGTTGCATAATTCCGGGTTGTTTTTTATCAATTACTCATATATCTATTCATACATAGACGTATCCACGCATAAAATATGGCTGTATCAATGATACAGCCAACCAGGGTTTTTTTAATACTTCCTCATTAGAAACTATCTATATGTATAAATAGTTTTAGTTCCATGTTGGCTTGGGAGCAAAAAATGAATTTAGAAAATGCTGGCCAATGCTGGTAAAAAATGAAAACTTGCCTAGCTCTTTCAGACTTCCTAACGTTCAAAGTTTCAACAAAACTATTATAAATATTTTTTTTTAAATTTATCTTGAAAACAAAATGTTCTGCACTGCTGCTTCTGTGATCCTCTTTTTTTAATGTTATAATGAATGGAGTATAGTTGTATTGTTGATCGAAAAACTTAAAATATGTCGTGGATATGCTTTTAATCGAAAGATTCTTTTTATTGATATTATTCTTAATTTTATCCTAGGCAAGATAGGCTTCTTCTTTTTAATCAATCATAGATGTATTTACTTTTTTTTAAGGTCTCAATAGACAGCGCAAGACAAAACAATAACACGACAAAAATGCGACACTAGACAAATGTATACTGGTCGCACTGATTGACGTGCGTAGTGTTGGTTATGTTTAAATTTAACTTTTCTTTTTTTATTTGTAGTAATCCCGTTTATTTAACTATGAAAGTTATAAAAACTAGTACGTTAAAATTTCTTTGCCACTAAAAAGCCTTTTTTATAATTTGCATTCGTCGCCATTGCGAACTTTAGCAAAAAGTAACTAACTTCACACTATTGTTCGATCATCCATCGTTCATTTATCAAGCGGTTATTTAATTTCCAATTTTACTTTTTATTTTCAATGTTGTGCCAATTATATTGTTCTAAATAAGATTTATATTCATATTATATCTATAAAATGGTATAAATGCAGCCTAATAAACCATATTGTTTGCAAACGCGCATATGCTTTGTTGTGAGAACCACCTTTATCTGCTGTCATTTTGAGCTAGTGTAGTAACAAAATTTTTGATAATGAAACATAAGTTGCTCCTTGAATGGTAGGTTATCAAGTGGATGATAGTGTAGTAATCCAAGACACTGATCTTTGTTGATGTTTCGTGATGAGAGTGGTGACATTACTTGGAGCAGCAATTGGGAGAATGTGCGGTGGCGTTTAGCCTTAGTGGTAGAGGACGTCAGATACAGTTGAGCATGGAGACTGTGAAGGACGAGGAGCGCTTGCGGCGGCTCCACGCTCTAGAGGAGCGCCTGTGCGATCCGCGCTCCACTGGCAACGTGGATTGCTTATTGGATACTGTAACGGCCCTAGTCTCAGATTGCGATCACCCGGCCATTCGGCGAATGAAAAATGTCGAGGCTTACACCAGTAGATGTAAGTGGCTTGCCATTGAATTTGTTTTAAGCTTATTTATATAAATGATAATAATGAACTGTCCAGTAATTTTGAATATGGGACACCTCATTCAGTTTATAATGCAGTTTTTTATTATAAACAGGAGATCTAGTTCAAAGTTTTATAAACAAATGTATCATTTTAATCATAATATTTGTCTTAAATCCTGTACTATGCGTTTGCCAAGTTGAATCAATACAATATTATCTTAAATTACTTTTTGCTAGAAATTCTGGATGAACAAAAATGTTAATGAAATAAATATACATACTAATTAAAGTCAATCATAGACACTTCTTTCTATCCGTTGCAGTATTTAACATTTGATATGTTTGTTTTCCTTGGCATCTTTTGATTATTAATGATGATGGTAATGATACAAGATATTTTGCTGATACAAAATATCAATAAGTTGCCATTATTGTATTAGTATTGAGATCCCATTATATAATCTTTAGATTATAAGAAGGGTATAAAATTATGTAAGTGAATTATTTTTTGTTGTAGATGAAGCATTTGCTTCAGAAATTGTTGATCTACGTATGAAGGCAGCTGATTTCGATCTAATCAAAGTGATTGGTCGTGGAGCATTTGGTGAAGTACAACTAGTCAGACATAAATCCACTCATCAAGTTTATGCTATGAAACTTCTCAGTAAAGTAGAAATGATTAAAAGATCTGATTCTACATTCTTTTGGGAAGAAAGACATATAATGGCACATGCAAATTCAGAATGGATATTAAAATTGCATTTTGCCTTTCAAGATCACAAATATCTTTATATGGTTATGGATTATATGCCTGGAGGTGATCTTGTAAGTCTTATGTCTAATTTTGATATACCTGAAAAATGGGCAAAATTCTACACTATGGAAATAGTTTTAGCTCTTGATGTCATTCATGGTATGGGATTTGTACACCGTGATGTTAAACCAGATAATATGTTGATTGATAAGTATGGTCATTTAAAGTTGGCAGACTTTGGTACATGCATGAGAATGGGCCCAGATGGCCTTGTACGAGCCAGTAATGCTGTCGGAACACCTGACTACATCTCACCGGAAGTCTTACAGTCACAAAATGGTGAAGGTGTCTATGGACGTGAATGTGATTGGTGGGCTGTAGGAATATTTTTATATGAAATGTTGATAGGTGATCCACCTTTTTATGCTGATAGTTTAGTAGGAACTTATGGTAAAATTATGGATCATAGAAACTCTTTGCAATTTCCTGATGACATAGAAATATCAAAAGAAGCAAAATCTCTTATAAGAGGTTTGTTAACTGATAGAACTAGAAGACTGGGTAAGAATAGTGTTGATGAAATCAAGCAACATCCATTTTTTGTCAATGATCAGTGGAGTTTTGAAAATTTAAGAGATTCAGTTCCTCCAGTAGTCCCTGAGTTGTCCAGTGATGATGATACAAGAAATTTTGATGACATTGAAAAGTCAGATGCATTAGATGAATCTTTCCCAGTTCCAAAGGCTTTTGTTGGTAATCATTTACCATTTGTTGGATTCACTTACAATGGTGATTATCAATTATGTGCTAGAAAAAATAAACCTGTTGATGTAGTGGACACAATCTCTAATAATCATATAAATAATGTTGGATCTGAGGCAATACTCCAATTAGAGAAGCTGTTAGAAAGGGAAAGAGATATTCGACGTAAACTTGAAGACAGACAAGTGATTTTGTGTTCACAGTTGGAAGAATTATCACAGAGAGAATCTAGAAGTAAAAAGATCATTGCTGACACAGACAAAGAATTAGCATTACTAAAACATGATCTAAAGGAAATACAACGAAAAGCTGAAGTTGAAGCAGAATCACGAAGAAAGGCAGAAATTAACTATCATGATGCAAAGAGGCGTCTTGAAGAAGAGTCAAACAGAAGAGCTAAAGAAATTAGTAATTTGCAAAGTTATAATGATAAGATAAATGCATTAGAAAAGCAACTGAATGAGATGCGCGACAAATTGAAACAAGAGTCTGAAGCTGCAGCTAAGTCAAGGAAACAAGCAGCAGAATTAAGTGCAGCTCAAGCTGCTGCTGCTGCAGTGAGTGATGGGACAATGGCTAGTCTACGAGCCCAAAGAGATGCATTGGAGAGAGAATGTGGAATGTTATCTGAGGAGTTGGGATCCGTCAAAGCTGCTAAGCAGAGATCTGAATCAGCATTAACCGAAGCAACTGCTAGATTGAACTCTTCACATGTAGAGTTGGAGAGATCTTCCTCACGATTGCTTCAAGTTTCAACAGATAATAGGCAATTGACAGAACGCGTTTCGTCACTAGAGAAAGAATGTGCTTCATTATCACATGAGCTTCGAGCTGCACAGCATTTGTACCAACAAGAACTGCGAGCTCATCAGGACACTCAGCGATCACAGTTGCTTTCAAAGCAAGAAGCCAATTTGGAGCTAGTCAAGAGTAAGTTTTTGCGTATTTTTCTTGTTTAAAATTCCATGCTATTCTCCTATCATTGGTAAAAGCTATAATAAGTATTCTTCCCCCGAAACCAAGTTATGTATCAACAATTCAATTTTTGCATGCTACAGGAACATTGGAAAAAATGTTTAAAGGTATTGTTAAGTTTGCTCATATATTTCCTTTAGTGTATAGTATATGTAATAATACACACGACTTACAAACCCTTCTGAATATTATACATCCTATTTTCTTAGTACTTGCATGTGTATGTTTTGTTAGTAAATAGACATCATAGAATATAATACGAGTACAAATATTATTAATTTTAAACAGCTATAAAGAAGTTTATTTGAATCTTTATACATATCCTGACAGCTCTGCAAGGTAAGCTGAATGAAGAGAAGGTTGCAAGACAACGCTCTGAAGCTGCATGTCAAGAGAAAGATCGTCAAATGTCAATGCTCAGTGTTGACTACAGACAAATGCAGCAACGCTTGCAGAAGTTAGAGGGCGAACATCGCCAGGAGAGTGAAAAGGTAACTTGTATAGAATATCAGAAAACTAGCAAATGAACTTGAGAAACCGGTGAACAAATACAGAGAAATGGTATCCCAAAACATTCAATATTCCCATATAAAAGCTATTGTCTTTTGACCTTTTCAATATTTTTATCTGATTTTATTGTTTCATTCTTTAGATAAACAAGGATAATTATGACAGGAAAGTTTATTTGGACTTTTAGAAGCATTTATCGTATGATAAACGAGAGCTAGCTATTAATTTCACTTGAAAAAGGAAAATTAAGTTCGTTACAATATTTGTTTTATTTAGACACTTTAAATCATCTTTATTCAAATAGACTTCTTAAAAGTACTTTTGAATCCAACATTTTTCCCCTACCTACGTTCGGGACGTCTTTTGGCTGATAAGAAGAACGAGCAAAAAACTTACCAGCTCTAATAGGAGTAATGACATTCACTAAAACCATATCATAATCGTCTTCTATGTCTATATATTTTTTAAATGGGAGAGCTAATACAATAGGATAATGACTTTTTTGTTTGTCCGTCAGTTAGATTTGTTGAAAAATATTAAACACGTATTTTTTCATTTTTTACGTAACCAATTAATTACGACGATACATTGAGTTAAAATATGTCATATGACGTCACGCTTTTGTACATTTCTACAAAACTATGATGTAGCTAGCCTCCATTTCTTAACTTTAATGTCTGTTATCTAAGCTATTTCTTGTAAAATTGAAGTAAAAAAAAATATAAAAATACGTATCTAATACCTTATTTATTATCTGGATGATGGTCTGAATAGAATTTCTTATTTTTTCATTTCCCCTTATTGGGTTATTTTCTGGTACAGTTGTTAATGAACATGTTTTGGGGTAGGTGGTGGGACTAGCGGCAGCCTTGGAGCAGGAGCGTACTGCTCGATTGGCGGCCGGCAGCGAGGTGGCGGCCGCTGAATCTGCCGCGCGCGCCGCCGCCGCCGAGAGGGACGCTCGCTCGAGGGACCTCCACGCTGTCCGCACCGCTCTACACGACGCCTCAGAGAAACTGGCAGCCGCCTCCGCAGAACGAGACATGCATGTGGCCAGGGTAAGTCCCCATCCGATTATGAATGCAATCTTTATTTATAGTAATATATTTGTTTTCAGGGTTCTGTAGCCATAAAGAATACAACTATAATTAATTTGTCAATCGTCACATAAAATTTTTTGAAAGATAGAAACTGCCAGTGTTAACATCCCCCCCCCCCCCCCCTCCAACTTATACAATAACAGTGTTTTTCACTAAAAATATATGCTGAGTATCTCAATGCAAAAATTACTAAATATTTTTTGCATTGAGATACTCAGCATATATCAGCGGCTACTCGGCGCTACTCGGCGTCCATACGAGGACAGCATATACGCCGAGCAATTCATCAATAATATTAATGAAAATATAAATATAGGAAATGAGTTGGCGGACTATGTGAATTAGCGTAATCTAAACAGGCAAAGAGCAGCCTTCATATCAATTGATGCAAGTAATGCAGCTTTAGATAACTTCCCACAGCTAACTTTTGAAGATTTAATACTATTTACGTTGGGCATCTATAATTTAAGGATCGCAAGATCATATGTTCACGAACACTTGCGACCAAATGGTATGTACATTGTTGAACTCTACCGACACCATGAATTGGTTAACAAAAATATATTGATACGAGGAAGAATGCAGTTGCGACATATCAGGAGCAAACAATACTACACCAAATATATAGGTGAACCCGAAAAGACAGGGTAGAGAGAGAATCGACGGTTACTACTGCTCTAGTATTCATGGTCGTCGCACCATTGGATGCTGCGCGCATGTAGCCAGCATAGTATATTTTTTGTTTTGGGCCAGGCATCAAGAGCAAATAGATGCGCCTGCCGAGTTTATAGATGACACAATTATTCCTGTAGACCTTGATCATGTCGAATAAAACTTAAAAGATTTTCTTTAAGATTTTTTAAAAATCATTGTTATTGACAAGAAATCGTTAAAAATGTCCTAAACCTTACTATAGTTATACAACACTCCATAGTTTGAGGACGTTTATACTTAATACAATTTTTTTTTCTGTAGGCTGTGGGTATAGATTTCATACTATGCTGCTCAATGACCTTTGGTTTGAAAGAGATAGTACATATTAAAAAACAGCAAATAACTTTCACATTTATACAAATTTTTGATAATAAAGACAAATTAATTTTTGATAATGATTGCGACTACCGAAACCTTACGAGTCCGAGTTGCATTTAATTTTTTTGGTTAATTTTTTTACATTTTCATCTGGACCATCGCTTTTCAAACTTTAGGATGCGACCACTAAACAGGACTTATAGGTTAGAACTAATTCTCACTCACCCATTAAAAAAAATAAATAAAGCGGTTGCTATTAACTTGCCCATGTAAAACTTTGATAAACGTCGAAATATAGGTCGTATGTGATTGTATTGTAGTGATGGACATTAATATATTAGGCAGTGGATAGCAAAAATTATTGTATAAATGATGATACATAATTATTACAACACTACTACTACTAGCTACTCAACCTGGTTTCTAAGCCTTCAGTAGACATGTTTCTTCCGATATCCTCTATAATCATCGTCATTAATCCAATACCCACAAAATATTAATGAATTTATAGCACTAGCGATGACGAAAATAAAAATCTCCCAATAATGTACACGATTTAAAAATAACTAAATATATTTACTATCTTACAAACAAAATTCAATAAAATTTATTTATAAACATTTTCCAATTATTTAATCTTAAAAATATAATATAGAAACAAATTCAGAACATTATTCTAATAGAGAGTATATATCAATTTCAACTCATTGTCATCAACTCTTTTTATAATTGCCAGAGAGTTTTAAAAATCTATGATGATGAACTCTTTACGTGAATGTGAAATGTCTATGTTTATGTTAGTAGTGAATATATATAAATAAATAAATATTTAATGTTGTATGTTCCCCACAAATTTACACTCTGTGAATTGATGAAAATCCATATTAAATTCAGGGTTGGTAATTTTTGACTCGAGCAACACGTTCAAGCAACAGACATTTGTTTATATTATTTAATAAACATTTGTTTATATAATTTAATTACCAAATGTCTTTCTTATCCCATTGGCACATTATTTGATAATAAATTGTGTAATTAATTAACAAATAATGTTCCAATGGCATAAACTACCAAGCCCTTTATATAACAGGTTTTGGGTACCTGTTACGGTTTGGAGTTTGTTAGAAAGGTTCCCTATTTTTATTGCTGAAAATAATATAAATTGAACCTTAATTTAGATGTTAATAGCGTGTAACCTTAAGCTCGACCTTAAAAACAGGAGAATGACTAAGATGTAATTATGCATGTTTATAAATGACGGCCATCCTTATATAAATCTTGAATCAAATAAACGTTAATTGCATAGAATTTTTCTTTCATAATTATGATAAAACAATGTCACCACCCCTGCATCTGTCCGTTTGACGCAATATTTGTGGTTTCACTAAATTCGAATAATATGATTGATGGTAAATAAGTTAATGAATAATTTTATATTTATTTTATATATTGCCGCGAGTTCTTAAATAATATTCGATTTCGAAAATTACCTATAAGTGATTATGTACTGTAATCTAAAGGGTTTAGGTTTGGTCTGGCTGTTATTTAGAATTTAAGAACCCAGGAAATTGTCGATACGTTACTGATGCACGCTAAAGGTCCTATTAAATATGAGGAGCTTAGTCCTGTTATAAAATTCACAGTTAATTGCCGAAATGCTATTGACTCCAAAGAAGAAAAACACATATCGCTATATTTCTTGGAATGAGATATTTTGGATTCACACCTCATTCGACGAAAACTAGAATTCTGCTAAATGAGGAATTGTCGCCCCAAACTATAACTGAATCCAAGTTTGGGCAGGTCCGTTGTCGCCACTCCAGAGTGTAGAGCGAAATCTGTAATCTTGCCGATTATCAGATTGTTCCATCGTATTTTTGTTGTCTTCTGTAATGACTGCGTTTTTCCAAGCTCCTCCAGCAAAGAGCGCCTTAAACAAGCGGCAACTTTCAAGCCGTTTATGTATCTTAATAATTCCAGCTGTTGCGATTTTTGCAGCTTGTATCTTATCACTTTTATGACTACTCTAGCTCTCTAGCCATAGGGTGTTTCGTTTGATTTTGCTATTTTGACATATACTTTATAAACGAATTTGACAGCAGTGTTACTAACTAAGCCGATTGATACCGAAAATTGGAACTATCTCGCACTGCCGTTATTATGTAAAGAAATTATTGTTCACAGTAAAAGATAATTAATGTTCAATTATGAACGTTTCTTTCGTTTTCATTGTATTCAATTGAACTAAATCCTAAAAGAACAAAAGAGATCGTGTTTCTTGATCATTTTTTGATGATAGGATTCAATTTGAAACCGCAGTGGTTTTACAAATGCTATAGTATATGGTTTCTTTTTATTAATAATTTCTATTCTACAAGGATACGTCAAGTCTATGATGCGTTTTTTTACAAATAAGACGACAACTATCATTTTATTTATCTCTTTAACATAATAATTGTTTGAGAAATATAATAACGACCGAAATCTGTTATTTTACCGCTGCAGAATCATACGAGAGCGTAGCGTCTGACGTCTTCTGTTACGTACGAATGTGTGGATTTCTACTTAACTAATACACTATTCGGTGGCTGAGCACGCCTCTTTACATTATTCTGTGAATTAATCATAATATCACCCGTTGCCAAAATAGACTGTCCTCTGACATTATAGCACACAGTGACTCATTGTGGAGAGCTAAGGCACACACACTTTAAGCTTTTGCCTTATACGATATACCTGCGCGTGCGCCAGTCTCCAAACAAACAAACACAATTACGTAGACAGCGGTTTTTCTACACTTGTCTTAGTCATTGATAGTGATGCGATCTGTTTTAATATAATTTATTCATTAGATTTCACGGAACCATGTTATAAACGGCTCATTACAATACTAGGATGATTATTAAATAAATGATTATTATTTCGTGGTAGTTTTATATTACATGTATTATACTGAGATGTTGTAGGAATGAATATAAATGTAATAGATATACAATTTCTATTAGCAATATGTACAGTAAATGATGTACCGTTGACCCAATGCGCCGACCGAGTTTGATTAGCTCATACTCATTTTATCTGCTGCACTGTGAATATTGCAGTTCCTCGCGATATCGATTCCAAATGGGAATAATTACTTAGCAGTATGTTAACATGCCAATAAAGACAAATGGTAAGTGCACTAGCACAGACGATAACGCATTCAATTAAACGAAACGATACATTTCAAAGCGTTCCTTTAGTTTAATCTAATTTAAAAAATAGTTTCCAGTAAAAAGTTGTGTACTTATATTATACGTACTATAGATAATGCGGTTAAAATAATGAATAATGGAGCATGATAAATCGTAATTTGTTTTGAAACAAGATTGTACAGAATGGAATTCCTAAGTTGTTTACTAGTTAATAATTCAGTCGTTCGCCTTTATATTATGTGAGAGAGTAGGATCATCTTCAAAATATTAACCTTATTGTTTTGCTTTACGAATGAGAGGCGACATGATCTCAAATGTCTTAGTCTGAACTTCATTGTCTGCTGACCTTGATATTTATGTTATGAGCTTTTAGATTTAGACAAGCTTAATAGATTTAGTTGCCATACATTGCTTGTGGAAAACATTGTAAATAAGTATTTAGGTATAGAAATGGTATATAAATAAATAAGACATCACATAACCGGTGTACAAGTCACTGCTGCGGAGGTCGTCAATATAAATAAATATTATACTATGTGTTTTTTTTTTCTGTAATAAGTGTTGGTACTTTCGGTGCATAGTTGAGTAGAATGTTCTGGGACATCTATTATATTGCTGAAGTTGGACTTGTAAAAATGCATACACAAGACATTTTGTACAGTATTCTTAGAAAATTTTCTACATATTGTTAAAAATCTTTCCTAGAATCTATGCTTGGAATTATGTTGTACACTTGATATTATAATACAATTGAACTATATAAATGGCACAGTATAAATTCATTTTGTGTCAAAGTCCTATGACTTTTTTGTTTATTTAAAATGACTATAATTTTGATTTATCGTTATTTTTGCTACTTTTTCCCCAGGAATTAAACTATTTCTTTATCAAATTTCATCCCAATCTGCCGAATGTCTTGGCCTTCAAAGGGTGACAGACGTATGCAATTGCAATATTAAGATTTGTTATAGTACGAATGAATTGATACAGAAATGGTAAAACATATACGTAACAAAGAAGAAATATGCAGATAAATGGAATTTTGAGGACAAAGTAAATTTTGTCGAGAAGCGTCACCAGTTGCAAACTAAATAATCAACAATGCTAGCGCAGTCATTGTAGAGAGATATGAATTTATTTAATGAGAATGCTGAACAAACATATAAGTTGGCATTGAGGGCCGGCCCATAAACACTCGCGTTATGGCACTTGTTAATGTACAACAACGTCTTATTGTCGCCTCGTTTCCTGTACATCTTCTAGATATTATAGCATTTAATTCTATTTAATAGTATTTAATCGTTGAATATTGTAATGAACGATATGAAGGACGTATGTGAAAATTGAGATACACGTGTTTATTTTGGCATGCGTTAGACGTCAGACTGGTTTCACGCAATCACATCACTGATCTTTTTTTATAAAGAACCGTTTTTAAAAAACTTATGATTCTACAGATATTAGGGCACACCTTTATTTCAACAATACAGTTGTAAAACAATAGTTGCGCTAGTGGTGTAAATTTATTACAGATTTGTTTAGGTATTTGAGTTACGTCATTCTTAATACATCATTACGATGACGACATCGCTGGCCGAATAACATTTATCTGTTGTTCAGAGAATCGTATTTATGAAAATTAATATTTGAATATATTGCGACAGACTGTCTGTTGCGAATAATATTTTTGTTTCAAATTAGATTGAGTCTAATAAACATGATACAAGAATGAAAATGTCATAAATTCGTGTCGTGATTCATAAATGGCAGTTTGATATTAGAACGTTAAAATAATGCTTTAATTGTGGAGGTCATGGGTCAACACTCGTTAGTTTATGATATATAGGTATAAAAATATCGATGAAATGATAAATGGAAACTACGCTAATTATTATTATGAAAAGTATTTGTCTCGAGTATAGGGACAGTAGTTAGAGTGATATGTGGTTATTCAGGGATTTAAATGTTATTTACTTTTTTTGTGGTATTTTATATTAGGTATGATGCAGTTTGTCCCATTTAACATTTGGATGGTCACGCTGCTGGGAATGTTTCTATTCGACTCCTAAGTGTATGCTTACGTTGCTAACGTTTTTTTTTAATTTTGTTGGCACCAATCGATGCATATCGTAGATACTGAAAAGTATATAATTTATGATATTAAAAATGATAACGAGGGTAAATTAATAATAACACAAACACACATTTACTGAACTTCTTAATTATACACTACAATACAATATTCTAGTACAAATTCTATACTGTGTTCTAGTGTGTATTGGTGTTCCATGTCAGGAATAGCATTTTGACAAATCCAAAACAGACCAGTTTATCAGAATCATTCTGAAAAATTCTCACTCAGTTACCCTTGGCCGAATGACTCGCAAGCCTGCTTAAAGGTTTTACCATATCTGAAGTTCTAAGTTCGATTTAAGGGAAATAATTTTTTCTATATTTTTTTCGGGTCTGGGTGTTTTAGTACCTTTGTTATTTCAGATTTCCATAGTGCGAAAAGCTACTTAATTTTGGGTCTGTACAATGTATGGGACGTTGTCTAATATTAATCATTTATTTTAAATGCAGTTCTCAAATAAGAGCGATGTAATATAACTAGCGAATCGTCCTGAATTTGTTTGGGTGAAATTTACGTGTTTTCAGCTTTCAGTAGTCCTGTTATTTCTGGTTTTTTTTATATGCTCGATAGGCAAGCACTTGACCACAGATCACCTGATGGTAAGCAATGCAGTGGTCTAAGATGGAGCGTGCTTGCCTAGAAGGATCACTGTTCCCACAAAACTTCATGAATTACACGTTTATTGATAAAAACCAGAACTCAGTTTGGTAACTTATTGATATGAGCAATGTATGTATGTATGTATCAAAGCGGAGCTTGATTGGTTAACGCGCACGGTCTGCGATACGGTTGTTCAAGCAACATCTGCAATGCCCGGTCAATAGGAGGGGTTACCAAAAATTTATTGTCTCTTGCTACTCCGTGCTTCCGAAGGCACGTTGGCCCATTCTCCCTATTCGATTTCTTTCGATTCCATCCATGGCGAAGGCTGAGCCACGATAGTTAATAGTAACTATGTTTTTTTTTATTTTGTAGAGCGAGGAGCTTCGTTCTCAGCTGGAGAATGAGCAGCACTACTGCATGATGTACCGGACGCAGGTGAACGAGTTGCGCGCGCAATCGGACGAGAGCTCGCGCGCCGCCCGCGACCTGGAGCAGGAGCGGGCTAGTCTGATGCACCAGTTGCAGCTAGCAATCGCCCGCGCCGACTCGGAAGCCATCGCCAGGTATGTGACGTAATACCATGGTTGGATGTGACGTCACTCGCGTCGTGGGCTAATTGTCTAATTATAAATCTATCGAATGATGAAACTTTTAAAGTCGCATTCGCTTTTGAAACGAATGATGATTTTAACGATCAAGAAACGTAATATAAACCTAGTTTTACCCTTCGTAAGTTAGCATACAACTCTTTCGTTTGATATTCCTCAATAGCATTCAGATATTGGCGTCTAACGATTACAACTAACGTCAATTTAAAGATATCTTTAATTCAATATTTAAAAAAAAATTGCGATCATAATCTCTATCACATGTCAAATAGTTGAAACGAACAAAAACAAACAAACAAAAAGTTCGTGACGAACTTCACGTTTCAACTAACTTTCACGAACTTTTTATATATTTTTTTTTAATTTTTTAAATGAAAGGGATGGTCATATGTTTTAAAATTAGACAAGTAGATAATGACCCCATGATTACTCTCGCACAAAAATAACTTTAAACTATTTAGTTGGCTATATCTGTGGGCTTAGGAATTATTTGGAAAGAGGTTAGATATATTCTCTAAGCTAAAAGTAGTTCTGCACATATTCGTCAAAGTTTTCTTTCGCTGGTCTGCTATTATAGACTAGTTAGCAAAAATCGCAAAACTTTTACACTCCATCGTTTGATTTGTTGTCAAGGAAAAAGAAATTCAATAAGAAGTCTTTTGAAATGAGGTTACAAGAAATTGAACCAAACTGATCTATTTGTTATTTAAATAGACATAATTTCTGTAAAGCGAGTAATATAACTTTATTTATTCATTGCAGATCGATAGCTGAAGAAACAGTTGGCGAGCTAGAGAAGGAAAAGACAATGAAGGAATTGGAAATGCGTGATGCGCTAGCTCAGCACCGTGGCGAGTTAGCGGCGCGCGATGCCTTAGTACAGGGGCTGCGAGATAGGGATCATGAGAACCGAGCCACCATTGACCTGCAGAGGAAGGTATGTGTAAATAATTTCATAGTTTATTAGTTTTTATATATAATTTTTTGTGGAAATAAATATCGGTTCCGTGCTATGCTTACGATTAATTACATTTTGACCTTGTCTAATTGAAACTATAATTATACACATATCAATAGATTATTGCAATATTTTATTTATTTTATGCAAATCAGATTTATTTCAAACTCGAGTACCTATAGTGTGTATTTTTTTGATAGGCAATATGTATATGGTATATTCGCGCAAAAAATACTCAGAAAGTATAATATAATAATAATTTTTCGATTTTTCCGAAGTTTTCGATAAATGGACCTGGCTTTGTTTCTAGGAGGTGGACGAGTTGAGACGCAGCGGTACAGCTCTGGCTGAACGCGTGGCCACTCTGCAACACCTGCAGGAGGAAGTGGATAGACTCAACAAGAAACTCAACTCTGAGATCATGCTCAAGCAGCAGGCCGTCAACAAGCTGGCCGAAATCATGAACAGGTACCCTTACAGACAAATTATTGTACAATTAGTATGATGTTCGTAACGTAATCCTTGTGTGTAGCTAGAATTTACTTCCTTGTAACACCTGAATAAATGACTTCTAAATTATTAATTTCGGTATTCCGCAAGGAACTATCTTTGGTCCCAAATTTTTCATAAAGATATCAAGTTCACTTAATTCAATACCTTCTTTTATTATTAGGAAAGACATGAATCCCGCAACGACGAAGAATAAGAGCAAGATGTCAGTGCGCAAGGACAAAGACTATCGCAAACTACAGCAAGAGTTGACTCGAGAAAAGGAGAAATTCGATCAGCACATCTCCAAGCTTCAACGTGACTTGCAAGACTCGCAGCAACAACTCGTAGAGGAGCAACAGACCAGGCTGCGACTTGCAATGGAGGTAATGTTCATTTAACTACACCACATTTATATGTAAATAAATAATGGAATTCTTCATAATGGAAGTTAACATCCTTATTTCCTGTGATTGGCAATTTCACATAATGGTTTAGTGTTCTGAGTAGTTATTCAATTTTAGGTGGACAGCAAAGACGTTGAGATTGAGCAACTAAAAGAGAAACTGGCTGCTCTGACTAGCGAGACCGCGTCACAATCATCCGCGGATGCTGAAGACGGAGAGACGGAACAGACCCTCGAGGGATGGCTCTCTGTACCTTTCAAGCAGAACATCAGACGACACGGCTGGAGGAAACAGTACGTCGTCGTCTCCTCAAAGAAGATCATCTTCTACAACTCTGAGAACGACAAACAGAATACAACAGATCCAGTTATGATACTCGATTTGAGGTGAGTTGAACGGTGGTTGATTGTATTAAACGCGATCTGTGATTATATTAATGTGAGACTTTGTGAACTAAATTAAAAGCGAAAATAATAGGTTATTTAGTCATTGCAAGAAAAAAATTAAAAAATATACTTTTGAGATGGCTCAGGCAATAAACAATCTGAAAATGTTAGTTTCAATTCATAAAATAATTTTTAGAAAAAAAATTATAATATAATTTTTTTTAATTTTTGTCTATATAACGCGAATCAGTAGCTGCCATCTTCCTTAGAGGACGTGTGACGTCAAGCGCTATTTGCAGTCACGTGATAACAAGTATAAAAAGTGTTTTATCATAATTCATTTCAATAATATTATAAATAAAATAAGCATGGTAGTGTGACTATCGGTAATAGTAATATAGTATTACCTATTACGCGTTTGTTTACAAACCGAAATTGTCTTTGACTTTGACATACATAGAACGATGTTTGTTGTTATTTTTTTTTTTAATTTTGAACATGAATTAATATATGAGAGATAATTCGGATGCGTCACCGCTTTACTGTGGAGATTCCACAAACTCGCACCAAGCGATTCGCCTCTACTTTCATCGTGCGAACTGCGAAGCTGTGGAATTCGCTACCGAACTCGCTGTTTCCGGGCAAATACAATCTGGGACTCTTCAAGTCAAGAGTGAATCGGTTCCTTCTAGGCAAGTACGCTCCGTCTTTGACCACTGCATTGCTTACCATCAGGTGATCTGTGGACTTGACAGCTTGCCTATCTAGCATGATATATATATATCAAATTTTCTAGTATATCTATAAAATAAAAATATAAAAAAGCGTCTACACCCGTATTAGCGCGATTGGATTGACATACTTTTCAAAAATAGTGTTTTACCACTAGGATAGTTTGATAGTGAAAAATAAGTCAAAAAATTGCACAAATACTAATATTTATATCGTAATAAAAATAGCGATTCAGGTTTTATGTTTTAAAATCGCACGATTATCTTCAAATTTTTATTTTTTGTCTGTGTGTCACGTGACTTGATAAACGACCCGCCATTGTGTAACGCCACCGCGTTTAAATTTTGATTTAATTTTAAAACAAAACGTGTAACTGTTTATTTTAAATTAAACGTTTATATTAAAATAAACAGTTACAAGTATTATTTCAAACAGAGTACAATACCGGTGAAATTTTATTTATGATTATGGAGGAGAGAATATTAGAATGAATTACAAGTTAATTTTGCAAAAATAAATAAAACGTACAATTTATTTCGTAATTTATTACATTTTCATTAATTATTGTTATAACTGTCAAGTAGTCAAGGATCCTTTTTTTTATTATTTCTTTATTTACGGTCAGTCTATTGCAGTGATTCTTAACCTTTTTTTGTTGCGGCACATATTTAACGATTTCAAAATTTGGCGGCACACAAAGAAAAAGATAAAGATTATTTACTTACTGCAACACACTGCATAAATAGTTTATGACAAAAATTTTAAATATACGAAATAAACTAATATATACTACAATAATAACTAAACGTTTTTTAAGGGATTAATTACAAGCTAATAATAAATATATTTTTAATGCGAAATTTGAGCTTGATGTTTTTTGATAATTATATTTGGTCGTAAAAATGACAATGCTACTCTCGTATCGACTTCTACATTTAACAATCTTGATCTTTTTTTTTAGTTTTAATGTTGGCTTATGCTGAAAATCCGAATTCACGCAAATTTTACAAATTTGTAAATTGACACTACATGCAAAAAATAATATTAAACCGAATCACATACATTTGCCAATTTTAACGAAAGAAAAGGTGCAGTAACTACTATGCAACACTTTGTGAATCCCAACTATCACTAAAACAACATGTTTTGTACGCAGAAGTGTCCAAGTGTGCGCCGACTTGAGACATATTTCTATTGCTGTGCACGCCGCTTCATCATAATTTGGCACTAAGAAAAAACGCGCTGCAAAGCAAATAATAAAATATATATATTTTTTTGTGGATTTAAATAAATATTCATGTTAAAAATATTTTTTTTTAAAATGATATAATTTAATTATTATATATTTGCAAAATTTGGCGGCACACTTGAAATTTGGCGGCACATAAAAGTGCCGCGGCACAGTGGTTGAGAATCACTGGTCTATTGATTATAAGCAGATGTGATGTGAGCAATTTATCTTGTAGGAACAATACTCCATTGAGTATCTCTCCATTCTTTGGTTTTCTTTCATTTTCTATCATTTCAAGTTCAATTATTCAACGATGTGTTGACGTTTACATCGTTGAATTATCACTTGGGGTAGTTGACGCTGGTCAATTGTACTGCCAGGAAATTTTGATGAGTAAGAAGACGCTATTTGTATTTGTCCGAGTATTGTCTTATTTCGTCCCTATACTGTGCAAACTCCAAGTTCATTATGGAGTTCAGTTGTTTTTATAAACCATGGCGCATTAGATAGATTTCTTAAGATGCTATTTTGTGCTCTTAGTCAAGTAAATGTGAGCCATTTTAGTTGTGTGTTGATTGTATTTGTATTTGTTGTCGTGTCGCACGCAGCAAGGTGTTCCACGTGCGATCGGTGACGCAGGGGGACGTGATCCGCGCGGACGCGAAGGACATCCCGCGCATATTCCAGCTGCTGTACGCGGGCGAGGGCGAGGCGCGCAGGCCCGGCGACGCCGCCGATCAGCCCACAGACGGACAGGATCACGCCGGTACACATATATATATATATATACCCTACAGACTACCCTCAGATTATTAAAAAACAGTACTGTCAAAATCGCAACTAAAAATAGAATAAAAAAGTTGCATGCCTTGCTTCCTTACTGTTAATGTTGTGTGCAGATAACCTACCCAAACTTTTTAATACATTATTGATTAAATAAAAGCGACCTCCTTAGCTGAGTGGTTCGCACGCCGGTTTTAAGGTGTCGCCATCTCTGAGGCCCTGGGTTCGATTCTCGGTCTCGGGTCAATGTAGAAAATGAACTTCTCTATATTGTCTCGGGTCTCGGTGTTATGGTACCTTCGTTGTCTCAGATACTCCATAATACGGGGGCTTTAGCTACTCATCTTGGAATCTGAGCAATGTATGTGGTGTTGTCTAATATCTACTCTAAAAAAAAAGCGTTTTATTTAATTGAAGCTCTAAAGTCGTGACAGTGCTGCGTCCAACGACGAGTTCGAGAATATTTTTTAACGGAATAGAATTCCTCATCTTAAATACATTGAAACTTCCGTATATAACTATGTATAAACATTCAAAACATACAATCTTTCCCTGTATTCGACTTATATTTTTTTTGTTGTTTTAAATTTACTAATGTTATGTTTTGTTGCAGGCAATACAGTCCAACACAAGGGGCATGATTTAGTGAACATAACATACCACATACCGACCGCGTGCGAGGTTTGCACTCGTCCACTATGGCACATGTTCCGTCCGCCGCAAGCATACGAATGTCGACGTGAGTTGATTTTTTTTTTCTATCCTATAAATATTGGTTGTAAAAAGCGATTATAATAGCAAAGCATCAAAAAGAATATCAACTAGGCTCGCAAGCAGCCTTATCCCATTTTTTGAAGAATTTTAAGAGCTTGTAGCGCGATCGGTCTGCGACGTGATATCTATTAACAAGGACACATTTAAATTATTCTCCATTACCGGCATCACCCGGTCGAAGTGACAAATTTGACATTGTCTCTGATGCAGTGATCAACATGGATGTGATTTTAACGAAATTATAAGAAAATTTTTGTTTAAGGACAAATAGTAATGTCAGTCAATTCAATTCGTGCGAGTTATACTTTCATTATAATAGCGTGATGTTGTTATGTTAGATTTCGAAATGTGACGTCACATAAGACTTCTCTCATACTTTGTCAAAATATTTAATACTTTGCCGACCCTCCTCAAAGGTTATAATCAATTTATGGATAAACTATGCAGTTCAGGCTGTTCAAATTGATGAATATATAAATATATGGACCAACTAGATATTCACGCAGACCCATCTGGCAGGATTCGTTCTATAATTTTATATGTAATACCATGTGTAATAGTGTATTCAAACATTGGTAAATTAATACATATTTAAAATAAATTATAATCGAGCTCGATGCTGCAACGGCTAGCGCGCTGGGTCTGCTATTCGGTTGTTAAGCAATTTTCGCAGTTGTTGATTGCAAGCAAATGACCCTCGTATTCTGTGTATCACGAGATACGCTCCGTTACTTAGGATAAAACGTAAACGCGTAAACGTTCTAAATTTTTTATGCTAATGGTGGAATGACTACGCTCCTTTGTCAAATAAAAATTACAAGTATATCTTACAAAATTCTTTTTTGTCGTTCACAGTGTGAGGTTAGAAAGAAAAAAATGATCAGTGTTTGAGCATTAGTGTGAATTTTAGTGTTTATTTCAGAGTTTTATGAATACTTTTGTGTTTTTTGTTGCGTGATAATATAATAATAAAAGAGGCATACATACAGTCCTAAATTATGTTCATTTTTGATTAATGAAAACATCGATAGATTTTATCGACATCGGTAAAAATATGTCACTATTGGTTTTCGTAAGCAAGTTTAGTTATCTGAGAACATAACAAAAAAAAACCGTGTGTTCATCCATCCAGAGTTCTAAGTATAACATAACGCGCGGCGTTCGTTTACGTTATGCGCGCGATAATCACTTGACGTTGCTGCATACGATGGCCGCACCAAGGGTTATATAAATAATCTTAACCAATAGTGCAGGGTGTGCAATGCACACGGGCGCCGCGCGTTGGGGGGCGCTGCGCCGATGATGGTCTCTAATATAAATATGTGTAAACGTGTAAAAAGTGGGCTGGGGGGCCCCAGAGCACTACTTGCATTTGAGCGCCTGTTGTGCTTAAGACGAGCCTGTAAATAATAACGAGTCGGTACTCGGTCAGGTTGCCGCATGAAAATCCACGTGGAGCACATAAACGAGGGCGAGGGCGTGGCGGCGTGCAAGCTGCACGCGAACCGTGCGCGCGAGCTGCTGCTGCTGGCGGCGGGCGCGCCCGAGCAGCGCCGGTGGGTGGCGCGGCTGGCGCGCCGCGTGCAGCGCTACGGGTACCGCGCCGCGCACCACACCGGCCACGACCACACCAAGCTGTCGCCCAGGTAACGCCGCGCCGAGGCTGTGTATATACAGTGTACACCCCGAGGTGGACACTCGGTGGCGCGCCGCGTGCAGCGCTACGGGTACCGCGCCGCGCACCACACCGGCCACGACCACACCAAGCTGTCGCCCAGGTAACGCCGCGCCGAGGCTGTGTATATACAGTGTACACCCCGAGGTGGACACTCGGTGGCGCGCCGCGTGCAGCGCTACGGGTACCGCGCCGCGCACCACACCGGCCACGACCACACCAAGCTGTCGCCCAGGTAACGCCGCGCCGAGGCTGTGTATATACAGTGTACACCCCGAGGTGGACACTCGGTGGCGCGCCGCGTGCAGCGCTACGGGTACCGCGCCGCGCACCACACCGGCCACGACCACACCAAGCTGTCGCCCAGGTAACGCCGCGCCGAGGCTGTGTATATACAGTGTACACCCCGAGGTGGACACTCGGTGGCGCGCCGCGTGCAGCGCTACGGGTACCGCGCCGCGCACCACACCGGCCACGACCACACCAAGCTGTCGCCCAGGTAACGCCGCGCCGAGGCTGTGTATATACAGTGTACACCCCGAGGTGGACACTCGGTGGCGCGCCGCGTGCAGCGCTACGGGTACCGCGCCGCGCACCACACCGGCCACGACCACACCAAGCTGTCGCCCAGGTAACGCCGCGCCGAGGCTGTGTATATACAGTGTACACCCCGAGGTGGACACTCGGTGGCGCGCCGCGTGCAGCGCTACGGGTACCGCGCCGCGCACCACACCGGCCACGACCACACCAAGCTGTCGCCCAGGTAACGCCGCGCCGAGGCTGTGTATATACAGTGTACACCCCGAGGTGGACACTCGGTGGCGCGTGTTTCATCACCTTCAAACAGCACGAATTTATTTGATCGTGAACAGTGTGCCGTTGCCTTCCTAGACTTCTGTATCGTTCAACTTCCACGTTATAGGTATATCAGTTTCGTTATTATTCTATCTATTCCAGAAGCCGGCTGATTCAAAAGCCGCCAAAACGCTCATTTAGTTATGTTAGATGTTACAAAAATTTACCGCGAAATTTAACTTCTAACTTATCACGTGACCTACATGATCAAAATAACTTTGTTGTTATAAACTATTATAGCACTAATACGTTGCCTACTCTCATTTTCGATTGATAGCGCTGTGCCTTCTGAATCGCGGTATATCTTGTCTTTCTATAATTGTATAACGGGGTGAATAGATATGTCACTTTTTAATGTGAAAAAACATTTTTTTACCCCAAGTACAGTAGAATAAAATTGTCTACTACACAAAAACTTCTATCGTGTATTTATAAAAATGACATTTACATTAAATAAAATAAATCATTTATCAATGTTAGATACCAAGTATCTTGGGCTGGGTTTTTACGGTTTTTTTAAATGACTGTACATGGGCGGGGGAGAAAATCGGAAGTAAAATTATGATGCGGATTCCTGTTATCCACCCCGTTCTGGGTGGTTAGACAAACACGCGTTCCGAGTATCCACCTTAGGGTTGCTGTTTCAGGGTGGATAAACGGAATAAGCCAACGGTGCCAACAGCCAACGCTGACGTTTATGTCCGTTATCACTAAACTTTGGTGTCGCTCTAATCTGTCGCCTAAATATTTAGGAATAGTCTAAGGTAAAAATTCATTTCACCATTGACTAGGATATTCTTTCAGTGTCAACGTTATGCCAATAGTAACAGGTGTAATGACAGTTTTGTAGCAGCTACTTCGATTAAAGAATTATCTGTCACTGCTATGTCTCAGGCTAATATATAAGGGATAATGATAACCCGTAAAGTTTTTCGGAATTCGATATAAATACAGAGTTTTAGCTGTGGCGTTGTCAGTCTGACGGACACAGTTTTAGTGGTGTTCAAAAACCCCGTGTCGCAGCCAAGTGGTATATTCAACCAGTCCCTTAATGGCGGCATTCGATTTCATTGAAGGGCTAGCCGCCCAATTGGGCTGATTATACCACTTGGCTGCGACATCCCGCTGTCATGTATTTGTTTCTTGTATTCTTCAATATACCGTAGAAATACAGTTAGCATAGGAAGATGACTATGACATAAAAGACAATTCACAATTGTTATTTCGATTTGTCAGAGACTCGATGCGATCGAATCTGAAGGCGGCATACATGAACGCGTCACAACGCAGCTCGACTCTGCCCGCAAACTCATCGCTGCCGCGCCAGTGACAGCAACCGGTCCGTCGCTGCGATACTTTACCTTACGGCCCCGGTAAATGAGTCTGGAATTGATTAACACTAATGATAGTCTGGCTACATCGTACTAACACTGTCGTTTTTGATTTCACCCTAATAGAATTTTCGAAAGTGTTTAAGCCTATTATGGAATTTGTTTCGTTATCGGCGATTCGAGGGTTTGGATCCTTTTTTTTTACTATAAATTAGCTAGTCTCTTATGATAGGTGTTTGTCCAAATTATTAATTTACATGACTTCAGCTTGGTTGCTGTGATAGTTAATGCGAGAGTGTAGATTATTATTATGTACTTATTTTAATATGGAAACGCAGGCGAACGTAACCGCGAACGAAGAAGATTAAAATCTTTTCCTGATTGAACGAGAATTATGAGTGAAAATGGGACCGTTTTCCAAATAAATGAAAATGGCTTGTTATTATGGTGATATTTTACTTTGGCCTGAATATATTTCGATGTGATATTTATAAACCCTCTCAAATGAAGAACACTTTAACGTCTATTATAATACAGTAATGAATTGTTATTATAACGTGATTTATATGAATAGAAAAAAATAATGTCTAGGTATGTCATTCGAAACCTGTTACCAATTAATTAAAATATATGAAATTAGGTAAACGATGGAATTAAGACATCATGTACTTATATTTCAAGTAGCAGCACCGGTTAATTATCATCGAGCATGATCCGTATGTATCACGTGTACTTGTCTCATTGCGAAGACATGTTTATAATTGAATCGAATCATGTAAATATTAGTTATATTAATTATGTTGATATTACGTTTTTTTATTCGCTATTGTTATTATAAAAATATGAATATGCGCGTGTTGAGAAAGCATTTTGTTTTGTTACTCGCGGTGATATCGCTTTCGGGTTGAGTAGAGTTGAGTGTGAGACGGCTAGGGATGTGAGAGCTAAAGTTAGCTTTTTTCATGCGCTACTGTGAGTCTGTTTTTGTGTCCGGATGTTTTGGTGTTTACATAATAGTGATATCTTTTGATTATTGGCTTCAATATCTACATTGAAACAGGTTTGTTTTACATGATGACCTTATACAAAGGCACCAAGCTTAATAGTGGTCACTTCACGTAGTTACGCTCAGCAGATAGCCTTGCCTTGCTGTTATCTAGTACTAGTTTTTTCGATTTGCTCAAAAGATCTTAGTACGGTTTCCGAGCGAATGTGTGGAATGATAAGACTGTGTACTCTTACAGCCCGCGTAGCGATCAGCCCGCGTAGCGTGACAAACTTAAGAAACTCTGTCTACACCCAAATTTCTCAGGTCGATAGTGAGATATTGTGTAGTTGCACTGCAAAAAAGTGACATTTGGGTTTAGACAAAACGTTCTCGAATTCGTCATGTCACAGGTACTTGTGCAAATAAAATAATATCCAGATCTTAGTTTAATTCGGAGTTATCCATAATATTGTTCTAGTGTCACAATTCCCCCATTGTCTCGTCGACCCCCCACCCCTCACTCGTAACGCGTGATTTTATTTATAGGTGGCCTCTTTGTTATTATTTGGGCGCTATGTGAAAGAGCTCGAGGTCCGCGGGTAGATTTTCGTGTGTAAATTTTATCAATTAGCTAATGACAGTGGATATCCAAATTACAATAATTTAGATATCTCGTAGTTGCAGGCGATAACATTGATGTCCATTCCTGCAGGCCAATTCAGCTAATGCTAACGTAATAATCGTAACTCAATAGAATCTCAACTATTTGCATTTCGCCATTGTATGATCTACCTGAAGTCCAATATTATTATGTATCTATCACCATTGATGTGTAAGACATTGCACTAATAATATTGGACGTTAAGTAGATAAGACAATGGTAAAATGCGAGTCGTGCGCAAGCGCAACATAATAATATCGAATAACATTAGATATTGCAGAGAAAAATGACACGTGGATGTCGACAATGGTCTCGAGTTCATCACGCTGTTACTCCGAGTGCTGGTCACCCCAAATATATATTTTTAGACAGAATTTTTGCAGAGAAAATAAAACATAAAATAACCTGGAAATCCTTAATGCATGGCGGCCCTAAGATAATGTATACGTGTCGTTCCATTGAATTATGAAACCTACCTTTAAGCTAACATAATTAGTAATTCGTGAGGAATAATTATTTTACTGAATCAAGCTCGCGTTGCGCAAGGCGAGGTTATTAGTGTAGTCTATGTGAAACCGACCTGAAACACGCACGAGGTTACTTTAAAATGACAAATTTCTGCAATCAATTATGAGGTACCCTTATAACAAAGTTAGATTTTTAAAAATGTGTCACTCATGAATCACCGCCGACCATGACTACAGACTGCTTTGAAAAACTAAGTATTACTATAGTCTGTTGATGTACTTTTATATTTGATTAATTTTGCATTAACAATGTAATATTGATATTTATATAAAAAAAATATCCATCCAAGATGTCTGAAATGGTAATCGAACCTCACAAACAAATTAAACGTTTATTTCTACCAATATTAATCCATGCTTCCATCATTATTAATGTGATCGCTATAAATATTTTTTAATATTTCAAAAGAAAGTACTTATGAATTTTACTGCCATTTACGATTTACGAAAATAATCAGCCATCGTTTGTGTTAAGCCAGTTTTATTTTAATCTAATTCGATAACAGACATACTTAAATTTAGTGTAATATATTATCATATGCTCACTAAGTGAGAGAGAGAGAGTGATATATTAAGACAAGAACAGGGAACAAATTTAATTAAATTCATAAATATTTAAACAGTCCAATTTTTTTTCCTCAATTACACAGAACGAAATTGCAATAACTTTGATAAATTTTGTGTACTTCGATGGCTTAACACATTGTATATGAGCCTACTTATTGTAGATAAAAAGTCACTTTGTAAAGCCTCATAGATATAAGTACAGCAGATGCTATTACTTGCGTAAAACAGAAAATAACGAAGGACAGTGCCATAATTGTTTACGTAGACCGGTAGTTGCTCAAACACTAAAAATATTAAAATCCTATTTCTTAATTATTCAATAAGACTCAAACGGGCTTCCCTGACTAATATTGAGCTTATATTCAATTAAAATATCGAAACTGTGAAAGTAAGATTCTTTTATCTCCATTGTTATATGATTGATTTTTAAAGTTTAAAATCGCTTAAACTCTAAAACAAAAACAAGAACTCTCGTTTACGAAATATGTGATAAATTTTGTGAAAAACAAAGCAATATTAAAAAGGATGTGCTTGCTCTCTTGTAGCTTTTGTGATAACTTTATTATAGTAGAAAGTCAATGGTTAATTGTATGGTGCCAAAATTTGCTTTTTTCGACGCTTGGACAATTTTGAAACACTGAAATGTTCGATATTAAAAACATATATATTGGCTAAATGTCATGTCGTGTTTACACTGTATACTTACACTGTAAAATATGTCACCACCTTAATTGACCAGCTCTTTGATAATTGTAATATTATTAATGTATTTTATCCATGACACGCTTATAGCGGTTACGTGGAAGAACTCTACAGTCTGTATGCGGTTTGACATTTATATAAACCATCTTTTGGTGTACTGAATTTCTATCAAGCGAGAGAATTGTATGAAGAAATCATGTTGAATGTATACATAACCTTATTTCAAACTCTTAAGATTCCATTTCGAATTCGAAAGAATTTCACAAATTGCAATAATGACAGACAGTTTGAGTAGCACTGTAAACGGTTCCTATTGTAAAATCTACATATAAAATTACTGATACCAATTTTCTGTAACACGACTTCAGGGCTATGTGCCAACAACTTGCCTGATACTGATCAGTATAAAGTGCCTAATTCACATTAGCCTCTAGTAATGTACAATAAGACGTTTTAGTTGTGATTTTAAAGTACAAAATATATTGTAACTCTAGTACCGGTCCACAACATTCAACTTATTATGCCTATAAGCTGATTAATAGTTTACAACTATACTGTAATATAACTTTTATTTTCAGTGTTAAAGGGACCTATATCCTTGTTTTCCGATTAAATATGATTGTTAATTTTTTTTTATTAATTGATGTTCGCTGGAATGATGCATGTTGTAACAATAAAGGGAATAGAAATGCCTCTGTTGATTTAAATTTATTAGTAATATTAAATTGGTTTATAGAAATGGGTTTCGAAGAATTTACAATTATGTTTTATAGTTCTTACTGGTTTGCTATAACGAATAACTGTGACGTCGTTGCCACTCGTCATTTAAGATGGTCAAAAGCTTCATGTATAAAAAGCTTAGTCGGTAGATTGTCTGGACTTGACGGTACATAACGGTGGTTCGTATACGCGAGGTCTATGGTTAGCTGTGATAATATAGACGTGTTTCTACACCCGTGGTGCTAGAGGGAAGCCGGCCTCAGAGGGGTGGTTGTTAGTGGTTCTTGTTATCATATACATAATGCTGTTTATATTACCCCACAACACTTTACATTCCTACAATAAAAAGCTATGTTGATTTTGTTTACGTTAGTTTTATATTGACTCAGGTTCAGCTTGTGCAGTTGTCGCTTTTAATATATTATTTTCTTATTAGATTTAAGTATCAAACAATCTCTATTTTTCATCATTCATTTACTGACTGGCGGATTTCAAATGTACGTACTTAAGTGTTTTGCCACTCGTCGTAGCGTAATGCTTATTTTTTGAGATGCATTTTTAAATTATATTTTATTAGGGCAGCTATTGCATTATTTGTGTTTATTTCATTCCATATTGTATCATAATTATGACTTATTATTTTTTTGCAAGTGGTCGAAAATGGTTGATTGCCAAAGAAAAAAAAATCAAACTTGAAACATCTGCAGTTTACTTCGAGTTAATATGTAGTTAACGATGTCATTTATTTTTCATTAATAAAATTCAATGTAATAATATTGTTATTTACTATGCATAATGATTATAAACCTGATTTTACAATATGACATTTTAGTGGAGTATTTTTACATGGCATTCTCATACACAATGGTCACAGAAATACTCCCAAATTGTCTTTATACCTTATACATAATGGACAATGTAAAATCACGATTATGTAAATTATTTATTATTATATAATACATCTATTATGACAGTTTTTATTTATCATGCTAAAATTGTAAGTTCCTAACTAGCTAGCTTTTCATTATTAAAGACAAAATTTCTCAATTAGCTTCATGTATGTAATTCATTTGAAATAACGATTTATATTTTAGAGGATTTGTACTCTATAAACTGTATCATTGAATCTATTATTTCTTACATGGTTTGGGTTGAAATTTTCGATGTTATTGTGGTGCGTTTCGAGTCGCTGTATGTTGTGGCTGAAATGCGTAATATATCATGTGTCATGCAATACGTATATATAAATACCATGTGCCTTAGCTACGGCCCATTCCCATATCACCTAGGCATATTATGATATGTATCAATAGTTATTATAATGTACATATGTTTCGGAATAACTAATATTTTATTGATTTTTTTAAGGAATTTGTATATTGTAAAGATTATTAATTTTATCATAAAATTAATGCCTAACGTATAAGTGCTAAATTTGTGAAAAATAAATAACATTTTAAAAATCTCAATCTTTTATTTTTATTTCACTTAAAATTATCCAACTAGATAACAAATATAACTTTTTTTACTTTCACTCTATAATGTTTCTTACTCTCATTCTTACTTTCTCTCTCAAAAAAGATTGCATTCAATTTCCCTCATATCCTAGGCAAAAACACATTTTCTTAGTGCGATTAAATAAATAAATAACTATTAATAAATTATATTTAAAATACTTTTATATTTATAACAAATAACGATAACATCAGCAGAATTTTTGTAACTATGCACAACAAATTCGACTGATTCTATGACAATTACACACAACGCGATAGTATGGATTTGTAGAGAAATGCCTCGAAAATAAGGTTAAATCTAGCTTGGCTCAAGGGATAACATTTTGAAGAGAAATTTACCCTCTAATAAAACTCCTTACAGTAACGATATTTTGTATTGATTTGTCAAATTGGTGTGTAGATTAATAGCTTTAGCTATACTCTAGAACAGTGATTCGTTCCCAAAGGTGATTGAGCTTCGACCCTTCAAGAAAGCTTTCCAATCTTTGCAGTCTCACGCCCGGTTTCTGAATTGAGAATTTGAAGTTGAGCACGTCTCAAACCGTGCTTAAGCCACTTTAAATGTCATTAAAACATGTTTTCATTGCTGATTTATAAATTTTTAATTATCAGTTGTTAGCAATTTGATAAATCTAATACTTTTTGCCATATGAAACGTAAAAAAACTTAATTTATTAAGAATAATCAGTTGAGATTTTGTATTTTCTCAATTCAGAAACCGGCCGTAACACCCGGTTTCTGAATTGAGAATTTGAAGTTGAGCACGTTTCAAACCGTGCTTAAGCCATTACAAACGTCAATTAAACAGATTTTCATTAATGATTTATAACTTTTTAATGACCAGTTGATAGCAATTTGATAAAACAAGGACTTTTTGCCTTGTGAAACGTAAAAAAACTTTAGTTATTTAGAATAATCAGTTGAGATTTTGTGCTTTTCTCAATTCAGAAGCCGGCCGTTAGGGAATAAAAGGCATTCAATATTTGCTTGTGGCCCACTGGTGGAACCATTCTTGAGTTCGGAGGATAAACAAACAGCAATTGATATACAATTTTCAAGTAGCATTTTAGGTAATATTAAATAACAAATATTTAATTAACGCAATGAATTCATATTTAGAAGTACACACTAAGCTCTATTTGATGAATAAAGTGTTTTTTCAAAATAGGCCGGCAGCTTTTTTCATATCCTTCTGTTTCCAAGCTGGCAGTGCACGGAATTCGTCGTAAGACGCGCCGAATGTCGCTACGAAGTCATCATGAGTTAAATACAACTGAAATGAATAAATAAAACGATAAGTTGTTACTGGTATAATTCCCGCAAATTGCTAATGCGCCTGCGTAATTGCGTTCAAAAATTGGTACCGTTAACAAATAAACACTGGATGACGAGTACACTTATTGTGTTGGGTTGTGTTGAGCTAACACATATTTTTTTATGTTTTTGTTGGTTTCGATTGTTATTGATGTACTTGTTATAGTTTACTAAAATAGCAACTATTGTCATGTTTTTCACAATAACATAATTTCAAGTAAATATGATTTTACTAATAATAAGTATGTTTAAAGTAAAGTATTGAGAGTTCATTTCATTATTAGTTTTGGTTATGTTTAAAAGAAATGCCCTTTCCGTTTGTTATTGTGTTATTATTTTTATTTTCCATATCCATATTTACATATGAATTGATTCTTTTCCAAATATTAAACATACTGTCAGTTGCACAAACGTCCATTAAGGTTTAATGATGCCTTTTAGCTCTAATGAAAAACCAGTAGTGTAGCTTTAATCTAATGAAAACTTGATTGATTTTAAAGTCTTGATTAGATGGGGATAGATGAATACTAGACTAGGAACGTAAGCGAGAGGATCAGAAGGTATCCCTAAATAATTTTATAAGCGGAAATAACTAATTTACTAAAAAGTAAAAATAGTTTTTATTATAAAGCGACAATCGGCAATAAATGTTGGGGTAGTCGGTCAAAACTAATCGCAGATGGCGTTGTCGTAGTTTCTATCTTCGTATAGCTCAGTCAAATAAGCACAAAAAAGGAAACATGTAATTGATAGGCATCAAATTAAGCAACCTTAAGCCTTATTACTCCAATTCTTAAACTACGTGATGGCATTGAAGAAATCGTTTTACCGACTAAGACTCGAGAAGTACCTAGTAGAAGTAAGAGTTTTGTCTTTGTTGATGAAACGTCATTTTGACAGTTGCCTTTTCCATTGTAATAAATGTTTTGTTTATTCAACAGACATCTATAAGATACGTTATATCATCACCTCTTTAGTGAGTGGGTCAACGTCTGGAGGCAAGTGTTCCTTCGGCCCCCTCAACACTGCAAGGGGATACTTCTCGTACTGATCGAATCTGTTAGCAGTGTTGCCGCTCTGAAGCGCACTGTTGCCACACTGCACTATTGCTTTGCCTTCTAGAGCGCTGATAATTGCACTAAAAGTTTTGTGTCCCTGAAAAGTGAATGATTTTATTGTTATACTGTCTCATTATGTTTTCAGTTTACTACATATTTTATTAGATATATTGCGAACTATGACTGAAAATCAATATTTTACTTTGTGGTAAAATTCTACTATATTTACGGTGAGTTGCACAAACGTTCATTAAGGTTTAATGACTTCTAAATGTGAAAATTGTATGGGTAATGTTACTTTAAATTAATGAAATATTTAATGGACGTTTCTGCAACTGGCTGTTAGTTTTCTGGAGCACACCATAGCTACATCATATTTTACGATAATAAGTTAATTATGTATGGCTGTGTTTGTGAGGTTTGTCTTGTAATGCATCACAGACAGTCCAGTCACAGTAAATGCCAAATTAATTCTTAACACATTAAAGTTTCCAATCAATTGAAGATGTTAGTTTTTTTTTATAAATTAAATGCAGTGTGGTATTTTAATTGTACCTTCCACATAGTTTGTTTCCAGTGCGGGAAGAAACCAGTGAAGTTTGGCGGCTCTCGACCTTGTGACAGAACAAGAATAGGCGTCTCTGGATCCCTTGCAGCGGGATCTGGAACCATATCCGAATTTTATTCATCAAGTTATACATGTTATACCTACCTACATCTTTCCACATTAATATACACAGACTAATGATATCACCAGTGGCGTAACTATACCGCTTGAGGCCCGTGGCAAATTCATTGGCTATTCTATTTTCCTATTTTTTTTTTACTAATTGTGTAATAAGAAATATCAGAAGTAAGGAGTTCCCTCTGACCGGGGACTCCTTCCAGCTGGGGGCCAGTGGCATTTTGCCGACTTGCCACCCTGTAGTTACGCCACTGGATATCGCAACTTATTTTCTCTTAAAAGAATAGTGTTGAGAGAAGAATATGGGCCCAGTAATTCGCAAAAGTTATCATCATCTTTGAGGTCTCAAGTTCGATACCCGGTTAGATCAACGTTTAAAATGAACTATGTTGTCTCAGATCTGAGTGTTGTGAAACATTAATTGTTTCAGATTTCCATAATATAAGTACGGGATTTCGGCGATGTATGGGTATGTTGTTTATTAAAATAAGAAATTCCTTTTTTGCTAACAATTTATTGATAATATATTAATTATTTTCAGCTTTATAGCTATACCAAAAAGTCGTTAGCAGAATTGAACGCAATAGTTATCTTTCATCATTAGCTATTAGTGTCTTTAATTGTTGGAGCACAAATTGGGGCAAACGGGCCATAACTCATGATGCGGGCCCAATGCGGATTTGGATGCTAGCGACTGCAGATGCAGCCGAGACCAATGATTTAACGTGTCACATGGCCGGTTTCTGAATTGAGAAAAATACACCTCAACTAATTATTATCAATAATTTAAGTTTTATACTTTTCACAAGGCAAAAACTCCTAGTTTTTATCAAACTGCTATCAACTGATCATTAATAAAGTAAAATAAAAAACGAAACCCTGTTTAAGTGACGTACAGTTTGAGACGTGATTAACTTTAGTTACTCAATTCTGAAACTGCGTAAGGAGCTAGAGGTAATAAATTCTGACGGTAGTTGTTACAGGAATGCAAAATAATAGAAATTTAATGTTCACCTTGTGCTAGGTATGCGTGTGCGAGCGAGAGGGCATGTTCTCTAGCGCGAGCGGGACAGTGCATCCCTGTCCATACGTATACAGCACAGTGAGCGTCCAATATCGCACACATCTCCGGTGATAACTCGTACTGGCTGAACGATATTATCTCCTCGACTACACACACATATACACGATTTTTATTTATTCTGAACCATAATTATTTAACAGACTATTCGTTTTTTTTTTTCACTTTGTGATAATATCAAGATAATATTTTTTTGGATAAAACAAAATAAACAAACAAAATACTGTGAAATCACATCGAATGAAAAGTGAAATGAATATATAAATTAAATATTTCTTAATAAAAAGAAGGCTTATATATTTTTTTGTTTTGTAGTCAATAACAACAAGTCCTAAATTACAAAACCAGTTTGTGTAGTGTCTTATAATTCGTTAGTTATTATTCTATTTTTAGCAAAATAGAAAATGAGTCAGGTCAATTACTGTATGGGCAGTGGGCATGATCCTTCGTCAAATAATATTAGTTCTCACAGTAGTATTGCGAGTGTGCGGCGAGTGAGCAGTAGAAGAGGCGCGGCGGCAGCGGCCGCTCCACCTCGTGCAGCGACGCCGCGCGGAGCACCCCCCGGCGGTCGCCCAACGCCGACCAGAACTCCGGCTTCTCTTTACCTGATCACATAGGAACATTACTATATTATATAATATTACCTATCATGATTGCTTATGATGTGTGATGGTGCCGCGAGAGTTTGTAGGTTAGTGTTATGGCACCCTGTGATTCTGTAACAACGCGAACCCGAATTGGAATTCACTTCAAAAGCGGCTTCCGCTCAACCTTGAATTGGTTATGACGGTTCGTGGCTAGAGATGGGCAAAGTGTTTCCGCCCGGCGGGCAGATAGGGAAAAAACCCAGGCATTTTGGGAATAAATCTTATTTGCCCGATAAACGCCCGATAAATGCCCAATCTGAGGGCATAAAAATTTTAATTGTTCAACCAAAAGTTATTTAAGAATTAAAGAAAATATCAATGATTTACAAATTAATATTGATCAATTTTAAATAATTTAACGTTATATATATATTATATGTATATAAAACAATTGGTACTGATTCACTTACTGATTCATCGTCGCCGAGCATGAACTATTGAAGTTGAACCTATGATCTTTGGTCGGTGGAGTGTGGTTTGTGGGGGAGATATTAAGAAAAACACCTGGAAATTCACCCCCTAAGTGGGTGAAATAAGAGTTACAAATTTTTATGAAAGTCTATCAGTTTTAAAGTGAGTGAATGAGAGTGATCAAATATTTGTTTCAAAGTTTAAGGTAATTCTATTGCTATGAAACTATCACTAATAATTATTATAATATAGAGATTCGCTAAGAAAGGATATTGATTATTGATTTATTATTTGGTTATGATTTAAGAGGGCGAGGACATATTTTGGCGATAGTAAAGAGTATACAACTTTATTAAATATATTGCGAAGGTCAAGCACCTTTCTATACTATTTCGAACTTATCAATTCTTCGAAAGTCACGTTATGCTGTGTCAAGATAGCAACTGGAGTCGTTAACCCTCATCAATTAACACCGGACTTGCATGGTGGTAGTTGGACTAGCCCAATCGCCGTACGTGATTCTATAAATATGGATGGTCCTAAGAGATGGGTAAGGTTTTTCTGTTCGGCAGACGAAAAGAGAATTACAACGTTGTTTTGGAAAAAAAAATATTTACTTGAATAAATTTACGATCAAAAGGCATAAACATAAAATTGTTTAAGCAAAACTTATTGAAGAAATAAAATAAATATGGATTATTTAACAATGAATATTTAATAGAAATAAACTTTTAAGTGTTCTCATAACATTACGGCATAATCAACAACGTTTATATAATCAACATAAGTAACTAATATTTTTACTTTAAAAAAATAACAAGCGCATTATTACTAATCAATCACTGTCAGTATCATATACATGTTCAATATTTATAAATTCAATATTATTAGTTTAGCCTGAAGTTGATGCTACTGCTTCTATATCTTCTAATTCACACACTGTGAGAGAAGATTCTATATCCTTTTGCATATAATTTCGCGATATATCGTCTTGACTAGCATCACAAAACTTGTCGAGACTCCCTTCACCATTAACTACTGTGAAACAAGACATTTTTTTCTCTTTCTTTTGTGCAACAAATTCCAATTATACGACAAAAAGTTATTTTCGCCGCTCTTTCTGATGTAAGTCGATTTCTTTTTGCACTGTGTATAAATGCCTGCGTACTGATCGACCTTTCTGTTGCTGCAGATGTAAAGGGTGCAGTCAATACCCTAATAAAATAGTAATCTTCTTCATAACTCCATAAAAACATTACAATACTGTTTATCTATAGTGGTTTTGTATGTGCAAGTGCTAATCGCGAAGAAAACTAAAGCGTTATCCGAGGCCGATTCTAACTAAGTTTCATCATACTGAACTCGTCTATATCGTCTACTTACAATGGTTTTAAAGAAATGTATAACTTGTAAAAAGAACATAACGAAAAAATTGCCTGGTTTAGAATGTAGCAGGTGTGAAAAAATTGTTCACGCTGACCCTACATGCGCTCATCTATCTAACAAGCAGCTAAATACATTACGTAACACTAATGGGCTGGAATGGAGTTGTAGCGACTGCTTGAAAAACTCATCTCGCAGATCATCATTTGTAATTCCGGAGGAGGATATTGAGGATGATGAATCAGAAACCAGTTTACTGGCAGCTGATAGTCAAATAAAGTCTATGAAATTAGTGCAAGATATAAGTCGAGAAATTAAGAAAACATTCCGAGAAGAACTAGGAAGTCTACAGGAATCTTTGGAATTCTTGGGTGATCAAATCAACAATATGGAAAAGTCTATAATGAATCAAGATAGTAAAATTAAGGAACTAGAAAATAAAAACTACGACCTACAATGTAAAAACAAAAATCTAGACCTCCGAGTAACCGCTCTGGAACAACTAATAAAACAAAATGAGCAAAAGAAACTTGAGACTTCCTTAGAGATTGCTGGCCTGCCGGCGGGGGCTCCAAACAATATTAACATAGCAATAGAAAAATTGGCTTCAGAGTTGAACGTCGATGCACTGGATATCCAATCCTCCCATCAACTACCCGGAAAAAAGGAAAATCCCGGTCCAATACTGTTACAAATGAAATCTAGGCAATGGATAGAAGCTGCTAAGAAACGGCGTCTTACTGTAAAAGTTTTGGTGCCGAATGCTGCTAATGATGTTGCTGATAGACCGGTATTTGTCAGGGAAGCTCTTACGAAATATACGAAGACCCTACTGTATAATGCAAAACAACAATTGAGTAAGACATTTCAATTTGTATGGTGCAAGGAAGGCAACGTGTGTGCTAGGAAGACGCATGACAGTAAAATTTTCTATATCAGAAGTTTAGAGGACATTAAGCGTATTGAATAACGTGTAAAGAATTAAATGTGAAAATATTTGTGAATTGAGGTTAACCGTTTGTTTATTTGATCACAAAAAAAATACATTATTCTTACTATGGATGATCATTCTCAAAGTATAGAATTCCATAACTGTTCCACACCTAATTCTTTTATAAACAGACTACCTTCTAAAACTCAGTTAAGTTTATCTTGTATTCATATTAATATAAGATCATTAATTAAGAACTTTAACAAATTACTTGAAATAATTCACAATTGTAATTTTCCTCTAGACTTAATAATAATTACGGAGGCGGGTATCTCCGACAGTATCGTTAATTTATATAATATACCTGGATACAATTTGTATTCGCGGTTACGTCATAGAAAAAAAAAGGGTGGCGGTATCATTATTTATGTTAAGAATCACTTAAAATTTACTCCTATTTATAAAAAAACCTTTACATTTGAATGTCTTACCGGTAATCTTAAGTTTGATAGTGATAAGAACGTAACATTGTGTGCAGTGTACAGACCGCCGTCTACCAATAGAAACATATGTATCATGGAATTAAGTAATTATCTAACTAATTTTGACTCAAAACAAAATCTTGTTTTGATTGGCGACACTAATATCAACTTAAAATCGATTAATTCTCATACAGAATTGTATCAAAATGCAATGAGCGGGCGCGGCCTAGTGTGTGGAATCACGGACTTCACAAGAATTGAAAAAAAGTTAAATATAACCACTAAATCATGTATTGACCACATCTATACGAGATTCCCCACATTAAGTCCGTGCACGGCGGTGCTAGATACTGTACTGGCCGACCACCGTGCGATAATCCTTGCGTGCACAGAAGCAAACGTTCAAGAACGCGGCACGTGTATAAAGAGTGTTTCAAAAAAATATATTAATCGCGATATCTTATATGATGAACTAAAACAAGTTAATTGGTCACTTACAAATAAAATGAGTTTTCCGGAAGATATTTTAAAATTTATCCATAATTCGTTTCAGAATGCAAATACAACTGCATCTACAATATATACATCAAATAAAAAAAGACAAATACTAACTAAAATGCCTTGGATCGACGAAAATGTTACGCGGCTTTGCAAAAAACGAGACAAAATATATAGATTATGGAAAAATAACTCTACAGATGCTAACATAAGATTAGAATATAACCGTATAAGAAATAAGGTTCATAAAGTATTAGAATATAAAAGAAATAATTATTACATGAAACAAATACGAAATAATACTTCTAATACCAAAAAATTGTATGAAATTCTTAATAAAATGTTGGGCCGCGTGACATTATCTATCGATTCTGTCATAAATAAAGTCTTTGAAGCTCAAGGTCTGTCATCTAAATGTATTGCTAATAGATTTGCAGATAGCTTCCACAAAGTTGTTCAAAATATTATTCCAAAATGTAATACGAAATTACTTAGTCCTAGTACCTGCTGCAAACCTGCTAATGCCAGTATATTATTAAGGAAAGCATCTCAGGAGTCTGTTTACAATATTATCAAAGATTTAAATCCGAGAAAAGCACCTGGAATAGACCAAATAAGGGTATCCGACGTGAAATTGATCGGAAAAGATGTTTCAAAAGCGATAGCTAATTTGATTAACTGCTGTTTTAAAACGGGAACATATCCCAATGAATTAAAAAAAGGTTGCATTAGACCTGTACACAAAAAGGGCAAACATGAAGATTTTTCTAACTATAGACCAATTACACTGCTCTCAACTATAGATAAAATAATAGAAAAACATATTGCTAATCATATCCATGCCTTTTACCGCGAATATAATGTCATCTTTACCAACCAGTTCGGTTTTCAGCATGGAAAAGGAACACCTAATCTTTTGGCCAAATTTACGGATGATGTCAACAAACAACTTAATGTTAAAAATCATGTTTTAGTGTTATTTATAGATTTTTCTCGTGCTTTCGATACTCTTAATCATAAACAATTAATCTCAAAACTCGAACAAAGTGGAATAAGAGGTCCGTTACTCAAATTGTGTGCAAATTATTTACAAGGTCGAACGTCTTTAGTTAAAGTCAATGACACCTATAGTGATCCAATTATGTTAACTGAGGGTACAGCTCAGGGTTCGGTACTTGGACCATTGCATTTTTTATCGTATGTAAACGACATGAGTAATTATTTGGAGTATACTGCTTGCTATCAATACGCAGACGATACGTGTCTTGTTGCTGCGGGTAGGGATCTAGTGGAAACGTGTGAGCGTCTGCAACATGACTTCAACGTGCTCCAAAAATGGTGTCACGACGCTGGCCTGGTATTGAACTCGGATAAAACCACATTATTACACATCAAATCACCATACTTAAAAAGTGATAACGTAATAAAAATAGTCGCCCACAACCATGTGTGTCTGCATAATACAAATTTGTGTGCTTGTGTCTGTTCGTTAATAAAAGAAGTTGAGTCGCATGTATACCTAGGTCTTACGATTGACAGCAAATTTCATTGGAGCCAACATATCGAATCTGTTTGTACTAAATTACGGCTTTTTTTGGCTAATATCACAATATTGAATAAACGCATTCCCTTCAAGGTTAAACTAATGCTATACAATTCATTGGCGGAATCCTGCATCCAGTATGGACTGAGTAGTTATGGACGTACATACAAAACTTATCTTAATAAAATATACAAATTGCAATTGAGAATTTTAAAAACGATAGTTTTACCGAAAATCAACGCAAAATATGATTGTAATGATAATGGCCTTTTTAAATACTGTGGAGTTTTGCCAATTTTTTCTCAGATAAAGTACGCTCTTCACAAGGAATACTTTCTTAGAGAGGAACTTTTGAAAAAAAAGAAGCACTCTGTGTACACGCGCGCCATTGCAAACAACAGATTTATGATCGAACGGGCTAACAACATATATGGCGAGCGGACGGCCAGTTACATTGTACCACGAATAATTAACGAACTACCCCCGGATTTAATACAGCTTATACATCCTAACAACTTAAAGAAATTACTAAAAGTTTATTACTTAGATGTGCTTGGTGACTAAATACTGTGCCAAGTGCGTGTTATTACTTAAATGTTTAAATTGCTTAATAATATGTTAATTAATAATTAAAATTATATAAAACATGCATTCAAAACATATCGGTTTTGAATGCATGTTTTATATAATTTTATTCCTAGCACATGTGTACAAACCTTCTTGGTTTCTCTTCATGGCTTAGTTTAATTACCATGTTAAATAATTTTTCTCGAACTGTAAATAAATTAAAAAAAATTAAAAAAAAAGTGCGACTTTACTTAGCTGGCTAGAACCACAAATACCTTTCCACCACAAGAAAGGACTCATTTATAAATAAGCGATTAATATAGTTTTCAATAAATACCTTGGCATGAAGACTGAAATTCATGATATTTATTATTTATTTATTTATATTCATATTTAAGTATTTTATTATACATATTTATTTTCCTTTAACAATAAAACACTACTAAATACATAAGTTCAACTTTCATTTAATGCAAAAAAAATATTTTGCTCAATAATATAAATGCACAGATAAATGCCCAGTGGGCGGGAATTTACGGGCGCTTATCGGGAAAAAAGTGATGGGAAAATGCCCGGGCGTTTTGGGCGAATTGTCGCCCAAAACGCCCGGGCATTTTCCCATCACTATTCGTGGCATAAGTGAAGTGAGTTTCGAAATGACATAGAATATTCGAGACACGTATGAATTAATCAATCTTGTTTTGTACTTTTATACAACAATGGAACCAAGAGAATTTACGTCATTTAGTGTGGCTTTATGACGGAAATTCGGTCACATGAGTGAATTCGGATTTGGGTTCGGAATTTTTATAGAATAGCTCCCAAGGTTATATAATATATATATATTATTTTATTTATTTAAGGAACAAACAGTTATACATGTGTTACATGATCACAAGATATTAACTTATTTTAATAAATTTTAATAAGTATTCAAAATTTTCGATTTCTTTTGAAACTTTAATGCATAGATGGTAGAGTTCAAAATCGACTACGTGTGGTTCTAGTAAGTATTATACTTGATAGATTTCTGCGGGAATTGTAATGCAGGGGTCAGCAACCTGCGGCTCTTTCGATAAAAAATTTCTCAAGTTCCATTAACACAAAAAAAATATACTGTCGAACCCTTTCAATCGAGTAATCGATAGATAATTGAATACCCATACTATAATGCGTTCGAGATTATACCTATCGATCATGACCACAGCCATGAATCAGAGTTAAATAAACAAAGTCGTGTTTCAAATAAAATTGTAATAAATAATGGGCTTTTAAAAACTGAAATTTTGTCAATTATATAGTTTAAGACTTTACAGTCTTTGGGTTCGTGCACTACAGCAGGAATCGGAATGGTGGTCGACTCCTGGTGTAGGGCACGTAGCCCGCTGACCTTCCATGAGGAGCGTGTGCTCGGCGGCGGCCATGTTCTTGGCGACCTCCCGCTCGTCCCCGGTGGCGGTGGCGGCGCACCACACCCACACGCGCGCCCCCTCCCTCACCACGTAGCAGCTGCCCCTACCCTCCCCCTCCCCCTCCCCCTCCACGGCCCCGCCCCGCACCTCCACCCCGCGCGCCTCACGCGCGTACTGCCCCGACACGCGTATCAATGCACGACTAGGTGCGACCACTCGTCGTCCGCTCGCTAAAAATATATACATATCATCATCATATCAGCCGGAAAACGTCCACTACTGGACCAAGACTCTCCTAAAAGTCGCAACGTCGATAGGTCCTGGTTTTTATTTAGTCCTGACCAGATCGTCGGTCTATCTTGTGGAGACAAAATATATACCGACAGATATACGCATCCATGTTGGTAATACCTGTTAACTGACAATTGTTACACAAACGAAATAGGTTTTAGTGGTAGACGCAATTTGAAATTTTATATCGAATGCAGTATTTAACTATCTAAAAAACAAAATCAGTTAATAATTTTTACTAAGGAAAAATAAATTAAAATAATTATCCAAACAATACTAACGATCATAATCTGTAGCGCTACCCAAGTAGGTAATCATGCGGCCTTTGAATATTTGAAGAAAGTGTGCCGGTTCTTTGCCTTGGTATATCCACGCCTGAAAAAACCATCAATGATAACTTTAAATGTGATTTGTACTCATATAAGAGGAGCTGGATGGAACATTGGGTAGTGCGTCAGTCTGCCATGTAGAAGTTAAGCAACATTCGTAAGTGACGGTCATAGGATGGATGACCAAAATTTTACTATCTCGAACTCCGTGCTTCAGAAGGCATGCTTAGGTCCCGGCTGCATCTGCTGTCATTAATACCCACCAATGGCACTGGGCCCTCGTAGTAGGTCATGCTCATTCTCCTTCTATTTAGAGGGTATGTGCCACAGCAGTGAAGACAATAATTCGATAATGAATGTATAAGAAATAAATTGAGAACTTAGTAAAAAACAAGAAAACGAAAAGTAACTGACCTGGATAGGAAGACGCCCTAGCTTTATGTAGAGGTCTTTGGCTTCTATTGCACCCAAATTCCTCAAATCATTTGGCGAAGAGCCACCCTGTTATGATATATCAGCATTATTATTTCAATCATTTGAACAAGGAACCATACAGAAATCTGGTGGCTGTCAAAAACGACAATATTGAGATTGTGAATTTCACTCACCATCCAGTAGTAGAGTATGGAATGTTCGCCAGTGGGCGCGTGGTACGTATAGAGAGCAAGGAAACAGTCCTGTGAGTAGAACACGGCCGCCTGGGGCCGTTCCACCTCCATCAGTTTTACTTCTGCTTCCCCGCAGCGATGAACGCGCCACATTCGTAGAGCTCCTGAACCGTCATCGGGAAGTTGCGCCTGCAATTCCCGAGAGGCAAAAAAAGAGTTAAATACTCTTCAGCTCATTTAAATTTTATCGAGTATAAATGACACATGGTTCACGGCACTAATTTAGAAGAATAGCTTAATTTCAATATGGTTATTTGAACACAAAATAGAATGTCTAACTCTAATCTCTTATTCACTTATATTTCAAGAGCTCGATAAGGCTATGTTTGGTCTGTTTTTGCGGAGGTCAAGCAAATCGAAATCTGCTGCGCTCGTTCTTCTTGGGCTTTATTCCCTAGAAGGTCATTTATACCAGCGATGTTATTCGCCCTACCCGATGTGTCGATGAGGTGACGTCACAAGTACACCGGAAGACCTGTGTCTCAGTGATCGAGATATTAACAGGCCGTCGACGCCAATATAAGGAAAGGAGGACGACTCACCTCAGCGGCGAGCCAAGAGTTAGTCGTCAAGCTGACTGCGTCGAGTTTAGTGGTGGCGGATCGCGCGGCTCTCAGCCGTGAGTCTCTGCGGGCGTCCGCCCACCGCCAGCCGTGGAAGAGCGCGGCGAACTCGAGCGGCTCGCGGCCCGCCGGCACTAGCGACACCGCGGTCGAGTACCGCCGCGCGCGACACAGCCCGCGCGCCGCCGCCAGCGCGGACCGCGCCGCGCACCCGCCCGCCGACGGACCCACCCACGCCCACACCCCGCGGACACCGCCGTCTAGCACGTACACGCCCTACACGTACGTACAACTAAGCACATCTCACTGATATAATGAAGGGAAAAGAAGGGAAATTGGTGAGAACAAGCTAGAAATCACGAAGGATGAATTAAAATAAGAGGTCTACTCTTGATATAAACGGCAGGGTGAATATTCACCCTGCCGTTTAAATAAAATAAATGCGAAGGTGACATGAAAATTCGCCAGTTACATGGAAATACAGAAACCACTGAATAGATTCACTGAAGGGATTCACACGGTTAAGTTTTTCTACAAAAGTGAAAACTCATGCAGAATTAGGCCACGACAAACGTAGTAGGTAATATTTTTTTTTGATATCTGAAGCACTGCCTGTTTTTGTATCTCTCCAAACAGGAAACTTACATATGGTATTTTTGATTTTGCCATTCTTTGAAATATATGCAAACGTTATCGATAAAAGTAATAAATCACTTTTTATATAATACTCACGTCATCAGCCATGTCCTCCCGGTGCAGCGGAGCTCTCCTGACTTCTTCGAGTCTGGCCGGAGGTCGTTGTGATGGTAGCGTGAGGGGAGCGGTGCGGGGCGGGGTGGTGACCCGGTAGAGGCGCGCGGGGCGGGGCGCGGGGGCGGAGGGGGTGACGGGGCGGACCACGCGCGCGCGCAGCTCCAACAGCGCGTCTAGCAGCGCGCGGTCCGACGCCGGCAGGGTCTGCTCGTAGCCATCGTGAGCGATGGCGATGCGGCGTGCTGTTATACCCTTTTCGGCGCCTCGTGCCATACGGTAGGCGAACTAACAACAAACGACAATCATAACTGCAGGTTATAATAAGAAACATTGATGTGATAGAAAGTGACTTCATGTTCTAATGAAGTCATTTTGACATCTATGTTTGAAATAAAACAGAGAGAAATTTCGTGCCGGGTCTTCATGGTATAAGACCTCTTGCCTTAGATTTACGAACCGATATCATAGAGTTTCCACATGCACAAGTGCTTGCAACCAGGGGCGGATCTACCTAAGGGCTTAACGGGCTTAAGCCCTGGACCCCGTGAATACAAAGCGTCCACAACTCTCAATAAAAATAACATATGTTATGGTACTTTTTTATAAGGTAATATTGAAATCATATTCATATCAAAATTACAATTACTTCTGTAATTAATAAGCACAGGGCCCCATAAACTCACGATCCGCCCCTGCTTGCCCTATTCGTAACAGCCAACACTGAATAAAATGATTTTGATAGTGTTCCTTTAAAAATTGATATGTCTTATTTTATTAAAAAACGTTTTGGGTTTTAAAGTTACCTTTGCTCCGAATATCTTTTCGACTAGGTTAGCGGCGCGTCCGAGCCAGAGCACGAGTAGTGGTGCTGCGTCCAGCAGGAACACGCCGTCGGCGGCCAGCTGTGACCACGACACCGGCTCCAGCTGCACTAGCACCGGCCGCCGACCGCGCACGCGGTACAACCGCGCCTCGCCTGCAGCCACGGAACTGCTGCGGAGGAGCCTGTGCGGATGCTCACCCTTATTAATGTTATACGAAGACCTCTGTACGTTATTGTCGCAGTCGAATGCCTATTTCAAGTTGTAATCATAGCAGAATCTAATTAGATTCCTAGTCCGGTTAAAAAAAGAAGTAAGACCGATAAGATGCTTTTTTCTAATATAATGTTTATGTACACATTTGAGCATTTTATATTTGCAACAAGATTTGTATGTTGATGCATGATATGGAATAGTGTTTTAATAGCAGCTTCTTTGAAACGTTTCCTGTTACTAATTATCAATGAATTTCATCATCGATTCATCAATATATCTTTGTGTATATACAAAGATGTATTAATAACATTTGGCATTGGTTGGGTCCACTAAACTCCACGAAAGTCCTTAACATAGCAGAATCGAGGGCCTGGTTATTTGCTGAAATGAATCTGTATGTCTGACATTTGAATGCATCTTAGAATTTGGTTAAGAGTTATTTATGTTTAATATGGTCTTCAGGGTAGGATCTAGATCCAAGATTTGACATAGGGGGCAATACCTATCCCAGGCGCAAGTGTCAGTGTGCCAAATAAATCGGAGTATAATACGATCAAAAGAGGGAACGAGCTTACAAAATTGTCTTACCTAATCCCATCCCTGAAGTAAGACAGGAGTCTTGGAGTCTCCTTAGTAGCGGTCTCTCGGTGTATAACAACGGGTGCGGCGAGATGCGCTGCTAGCTGTGTGCCGCGTCGCAGCGCAAGCGCAGCCAGGGCGCCGCTGCGTTCGCCAGCCCACGCGTGGATGTGCCGCTCAGCGAATTCACCATTACCATTCTCTTTTATTTCACGACGCTGAAATTAATTTGTTTGTTTATATAACGACTACATAATAAAAGTTACCAAGGAAAGAATCTTTGTTATGTAGTTGGTATTATAATTCGTAAAACTTAAAGATTTCGACTTATCTACAAATAATAGGAGTGCTTTAAGATAATTTTAATGCGCAGCACTTAAATTAAACCAAAATGATGATTCTTTGCGCAGGTACACACGGCTGCACGTCAGATGACTACAATATTGTGTGTCAAATTTTTCCAGTTGATTTTCAACTTCACATCTTTGTACGTTTTCTACAAAGTTGTGACGTAGCAAGCCCCCACTCCTCAACTTTTATCTCTGCCGTTTCTTGTTAATTTAAAGCAAAAAGAAAATATATACGTGTCTAATTTTTTTCTGTTCGATGGACTAAATGGAATGCCTTTTTTTCACCCCGTCTTCATCCCTAATCGTTTAATTTTTTTCCGCTTTGTTAACAATAACTTTCAATTAGACAAATGATGTTAGAACAAAAAAGATTGCCAGTTTAGATATTGGTTCCCAAAATTTCTCGGTTTTATTTTTCAAATATATTTCATCTCGACATTTCATATACCAAATTGAAAATGCCATTTTCAAAGGTATTATTAAATTTCTACTGGAGTATTGGCCGTGAATTAATTAGAGAAAATTGAAGCCGTAACCAACGAAGTGTAAGGAAATCTTGAGCGCAGATTTTATGACGATAATTAGTTATTGATTGATTTTCAAAATAATCTAATTAAATCATTTGATAATTAAAACAAGGTTTTTTTCGTTTATGATAGTACATAATTAATAGAATCCATTTCTACCACCAATTTGGTGGGTAATATTTAACAGAAATATCTTTAGGTACTTTTCATTGTCGAATAATGAAATGAATAAACATATTAAGAAATATTAAGAAATATATTAAACCTTCTTTAAAAAGCTAAGCACAAACTATAATAATAAAGTTTTACCTTTTTATATTAGTAGGATTATTGATGATGTCCTGAACTTTGACTTCAGTTTAATTAAAGTGTCTAAATATATTTTTTTGTTATTTTAAAAAGTGGTTTGACTTTTTAGGTGCATTTATTTAGTTAATAAAACATATCAATTCTTTAGATTAATAGCGTACATACATATATTGTACTTTTTGATTGAACGATGGACGGATGAATGAATATTGGTATGTATGTTTCTCTGTCACGCAAAGACAACATAACGGATTTTGATATATCGCACCCCCGGTGCGACACTGTCACTTTTGCAAAAAATACAAAAATTAGTTAAATATGTAATAATTGTCCTAAAGCACCCCTTAACTTGGTGCAATAATATTACTTTTGTAGCATTATTGCACCAAGTAAAGGGGCATAGCTCCGTATGATTCATCTCATCTGTATCTTCTAAAGTCATTGTTTTGTGAGTTTAAAACTCTTCTCCTGAAAAACTAAATTTTTGCATAAGTGACAGTGTCGCACCGGGAGTGCGATATATATATATATATATATATATATATATATATATATATATATATATATATAATAATTTCATTTAATATACTTAGTTAACTTAGTTAATTTACAAAAATAGGTAACAACTTAAATTACTCCTCTGTTGCCGAAGTAGGAAAAGACATCCTGTATTCCAGCGTACAGCGCCCTAAAAATCCCCATAGAACCCATAGAATTCACAATTAATTTCCTTAACATGTCACGTACCAATACATTATTACTACTTGTAGTAATAGAATTTAGTACTTTTAATAATAATAAGGTAATTTATTTGGTGAATCGTTAGGTTTGCGATGTGGAAATTATTAGAGATACGCAAAATTTGTATTTATACATACAATTTCTAACTCATTTTAATAAACAAAACCGGAGTAGATACAAATATAAAACATAAAATTTAACTTCAGTTTCTCTTCTGCAATACTACCTGTTTTTTTACTTCGTAAATAAATAGTTTATGTCGCCTTGACATATCTGCCGGTATATAACGTCACAAATACCACGTGATCAGCGCCATTACACAGAGAGAATTTTTTGCGCGATTTTGGCTATTTTAGCAATTATTTTTATCGAAAATAGAACAGATTCTCATGATTTATATTGACAGTGTGTTTTATAACGTACAAAACAACCATTTAAAATAATTACCAAAAAAGGGGTAAAGGAAATTTGACATATTTTTTTAATCAGAAGTTGTTGGTAAGTACTTACAATGACGTCAGGCCCAGCCGGCTGACCGGAAAGCGAGGACGAGTACACCAAATAAGCTTCCGTGTCGTAAAATGTGCCATAATGGTTACGTGGTAGCAGTTCTGTTCCCGATTCCTGTAAAAAAAATAAAAAAAATATATTTATTCCATAATAGCTTTTAGTGTTCTTATATATTAGTTAGTTATATCTTTTATGACCACATGGTACGCTATCAATTTAACGGAAGCCAAATACAAAGTAATCACTGTTAATTTACAGTGTTCAGATACGTTATTTTGTTAAAAAACAGCTTCGAACTCGAGAAATATGCTGTGATAGAATTGTTAATGAAATAAAAACCTTTATTACCTTTTGAAGGTTTAATTTGATCGAACCTCTATGGCATGACAGCACTGCGTAGACGAGTTCGAAGCTATTTCCAACATAATGGCATAGCTTTACCTTTTTTATTACGCCGATGTAAACGCGTTTGTCTCTGTCCCCGTTTAACATATTCATAAACATAAGATCTCTTACATAACAATCTCCCCTCTCGTGAGGGATGTGACCTGGGAAGCTATGGTTAACACCACGACAGTTATCCCTCCATTGATCTCCTCGCGACTGGAGAGGCTCGATTACCTCTCCCAGACAGGCGAAAAGGTGTAATGTTTGTCAACCACCTCTGCTAACCCTTACTAAAATGTATTGTTTTATCAAATCTTTCAAAACAGTTATGACGGAGCATCGTGTCACGTCACATTTCAATAAACTACACGTCAACGTCTATGTTGTCAATGCAACCAGTCAGGCCCGTCTTAAGCACAACAGGCGTCCGGGTGCAAGTAGTGCTCTCGCGCCTCCAGCCCACTTTTTACACATATTTATATTAGACCATCATCGGCGCCGCGCCCGGGTGCGTTACACCCAATACACCATGGTAAAGACGGGCCTGCAACCAGTACGTAAGTTTGTTTTAAGCGGCTCTGTTTTATTATATTCTAGTATGTATATTATATCTAGTATATTCTAATAAAGAGCCAAACAACTCGTTAGTGATTAAGTAGTCATAGTATTTTCTTAAAAAAAAGTTAACAGAGTTGTTGATTTATGTTAGATTAAACGTATTACTTCTTTACTTATTCATGCATATTACAATTAGTAAGGCACGCGTTTATAAGTAAGAAATAAATCCTTATGCATAAGAAGTAGTCTAACACACGACATGTCTGAGTATTGCAGAACGATTTATCACGATACTAGTTTTTTATTTGTGTAGCTTTCAACATTATCTGCTTATTACATTTGATCAACTTTAATTCACAATGCTATTTTGATATACCTACCATCTTTTGTAACGCAGAGAAAATGAAACCTTAAGTTAAACCTCGCACGTGTTCTGAAAAGGACAGGCTTAAGCGAAGATGGCCTGGTAAAACCCATTGCGAGTACCCCTTCCCCCTGATTGATACCTACATATAATTTATCACCCACTGCCGGGGATTAGACCTTTCCTGTGGATGGAATCGGATGGGGAATATGACGTCCCATCATGTGGGACAGGTGCGAATTGGTGGGTTTTAACGACTGCATGATGTAACTGAGACCAATAGCTTTGGGTATGTGACTTCCGAAGCACGGGAGATGAATTGTCTGACTCTAAACATTGATGAAAATACGTTCCTAGGACCGAAAGTAACTACACCAAGTGCTTCAGATATTTGACAGGTTCCTCCTGTCACTGACTAACATTTCATATAACATAATTGGTTAGAGCAGTCGCACTTATCGGCAAAGGGGGAGATCGAATTCCATCTCGGGCATCCGCGGGATTGGTGATATTTTAAAATATATTTTTGTTTTAAATATTATTCACGATTCTATAGGACCACCTGTTAAAGGATGTTTGGATACTGTGTTGAAATAATAGTCAATAACTAGGAATAAATACGAATCAACTTACATATTATATATTAATCGAGTTTAAGTAATTTTTTATTTTATCTAATATAAAAAAATATTACTAACTGAATAAATGTATTAAGTTTATAGTATATGAGATATATAAATAAAATAGCTACTATATATATGTACTAATAATAATAAACTAGACCAGTAATATTTATAAGTGAACATGGCAATAGTTGCTCTTCAGCTGTGCCCTTACACGGCGTCACTTGTAGAAAATTTACATACACAATTCTATTATTCAGTCTGAGACGTTAAAATTGTTAAGTGATAAATAAAGGCATATAAAAAATTACTTTAAAATATTAAAAGAATTTTTGTTTCCAAGCCGTTTCTGTTTCAATGTATACATCAACAGATTAATTAGACATAAAACAGTTTCGTAGGAATACTCAAATTTTAAACTTGTTAATATATCATTACAAAAAAAATACTAACAAACGCGCGTTGAATAGGTAATCTTAAGATATAATTGAGGATAATAATTATAACTACGGCTAACATTTTAAAATACAAATTACGAGATTATACATTTAATTTATGAAGTTATTACGAGCTGTGCATTATATATGGTAGAGAAAGTGACTGCATATGAAAATCTACGTATTCTTGTACCTACACACGGCACGTGAGGCTACCATAATATGTCTAATTTCCACAATTGATTTTGAATTCTACAAACAATGCTCAAGATTTAAAATCAAGTGGAGACATTTGACACGTATGTATGCTATGCCATAGACGTTGACATATGTTAGCCTTAAGATAAATATTAATATAGTAAATGAATGCAAAATTTATCAAATTAGCGAAGTCCATCCAAAACGAAATCTGTCCTGACATACTTTTGCATTTATTACTTGGATATAGATATGAGTGTTGATATTATTTTTGTGTAACATTCAACAGATGTGCCTAAACTGAAGGTGTACGACTATGTAATAAAAAAACCTTTACGTATGCTATTACCAAAATTTATTATAAATTAATATAAACGAGATTAATCGAGAAAACGAATCATCATTTACACCAAAATCGACAGTCGCGCTCCGCTGCCTTCGGATCCTAATGCACCAGCACCAAGTAGCGGTAAACTAATCTCGATGTGGGATGAATCACCACAGTTCTTCCGTTACAAATGTATTTATCGTGTTGCGATCGATTGTTGTTTGTTTCATTTCATGCAGCGCGCCCATTTGGTGCAAACTGCCGCGTTTAGGGTTGCTAGATGTTAAAACAGCCGATACACTAACCGCAACTACACACAGTTGCTTTTGTTTTACATTACTCTTTGTTTTACACAATTATTTTATATTTCACTATAAAATATTTTTAGGAACAACAATATAAAAGTAAATTAATTTACTTTTTATTATTATGTTTCTATTAATCAGGGTTAGGAGGTTAAAGTTACGAGGAAGTTTGACACACCACAGCTGTCAACGGTATTAATTTTGCATACATTGGATCGCCTTGAAGAGCCAAATAGCCAAAAATGGGATCTTCTTCCGGATACATTTTTTAATTTAAATAATTACAATACTAGCAAGCAGTAACTGTTGTTGCATTTTTTTATGGAGCGATACAATGTCAATCGCACAGGAAAGTAACACAAATGTAAAAAAAACTTTCTTATCCTACAAAAGGTGGATAAACCGGACACCATCCAATATCCAATTTGGCCGCATGCTCAACTAAAAATCCAGACAGCGTGGCTTTTATCTGGACGCCTGGCAGCACTAAAATGTACGGAGAGGGCCGCGGCCGTAACTCGTCGACGCACTCGATTTACCACGGCGAATTTACATTTGTTTAGATAAATTTACTTTTGATGAGATCAATTACTTTATTTGCTTATCGATTTCACTAACAAGCGCATCACTTGAGAACGATCGGTTGATGGAATAAGCATTTTTAAGAGAGTGGGAGGCAAAAAATATTACTATTTTTTATATTAATTTACTAAATAAGGACCATTAATGTATAATTTAGCAGAAATTATAGCTCTAATTATTACCTGATTCAAAAAATCTGTTTATTATGTTATTTATTATCATTAGTTGCGAAGTCACCCTGAAGGTCGTGGGTTCGAGTCCCATCTTAGAGTACCTGGGGCAGGTAGATTTTTTAAGCATTTTTCATTAAGAATATTTTTCAGTATAGCATTGTGGATACAAAATTGTTCAAATATAATATTTAGTTTAGTCATTCGATTGTAAGTATCTAGTTCAATCCCATGTGAATTGATCAATAACATAATAGACGTTATCTTGCACAATACGCGTGTCCACGCCATATCTACAATTTCCATCACATATAGTTTCATTCAGGTAATTACTGAGAATCAACCGAGACGGTATAATATACATCTTCTTATATTTATAAATTACGTCATTTTAAATTTTAACTCACGTAACGGCTATGCGTTTTAAAAAAAAAGTTTCTAGTTTAAATGATCTAAAAATCTATTTTAAGTAACAAAACCAAAGACTTCTATAACAAAAGAGTTTTAAGAAAGCAAAATGTCTATGCACGATGTTTTGTTTACTTTGACGTCATATTTATTAAATTTTCATATTAATTATATACAATAACAAAACTTTTGAACCGATTTCAATTAAATTTTCTATGGAAAGTGAAATAAAAATAAAACATGAAGTTATTAGTAATCAAGGAGCAATACATGACTAAAAATCTTATTAACAATATAGAAAACCATGGAAGTTCTTGAAAATTACTTACTTACGTAGAGGTAGTTACTTAAATTGTCTTTCTTCTGAAGTCCCAGACAGTAAGCTTTATTATAGGTCGTTGATACAATCAGAAGTGCGTCTAGAAAGCATTTCGCTGAGCACCTGTAGGTATCTACAATCTAGCACTGGCACTGTTGGTATATACTAGACTTTCTCTTCCCATTAATTATGGCATAAATTTATATTATCTGTGAGTCTGGTAAGTTAGTCAGAATATTTTAGAAAACAAGTGAAAAACATGCAACGGAAACGAGCAAGAAATCACGTGGGAAACCCTTAAATATTTATTTTATTCTGGTTTTTAGTATAGTGTGTTGTTGAAGTGGCAACAGAAATACATCATCTGTGAAAATTACAACTGTATAACTTTTACGGTTCATAAACAAACACAGCCTTGTCAGACAGACAGACAGCGAACTCTTAGTAATACGGTTCCTGTTTTACCCTTTGGGTGCGGAAACCAAAAGAGATACATTTGACGTAGTCGATCAGCAAGTAGATAAGTTAGATAGGTATATTATATTTATGTATGTAAGAATCATTAACCTCATGTTTCTACCTCATAATCATAGATTTTGATTTTGTTGGATAGTTACGGTTGATTCAAAAACTTTTGTTTAAACAAAGTAGTAACAAAAAAGTAATTTATAGGTATTTCTGGACACAGAAAAAAGAACAGATTTTGAATTATGAAATTAGATAATTCGACCGTATTAGTATCGTCAGCTTCCACAATCATTTACTTTCATACATTTACACCATTTCATCATCATGAAGTGTTCATCTTCACGGGCTTAATTTTTCAGGTTGTAATTTTTAATTAAAATAACGGTTAGAAAAGTTAATTTTCTACATTGACCCGACCGGGAATCAAACCCGGAGCCTCAAGATATGGCGACACCTTTAAACCGGCATGTGAACCACTCGGCTACGGCGGAGGTAATTTATACATTCAGAAAACAGTTAGTAGGTTCGCAATCTCTTTACATGTATATAAAAAGAAATAAATAAATTGAATTTCTCACACTGACTAAAATTTGAATGTTCGCACAATTTAACTAAAACCGATTGTTCCCACATTAACGGGGTCGTGCTGAGAAACGTTTTGTGAACTTCTGTGTCCGTTGACCTTTTACACGAAATTACGCATCAAATATGTAATTATCTTTATTAGAGGAGAAGTACTGTTACAAAATTATAATATTATTTAATAATTATTCAATTATTACCTACCTTTCTACCTTTTTTACCATGCGTTTTAATATTTTTTTTAATATATGCATATATATTTTTTGAAATAAATGAGAATTTTAATAAATTAAGAGCTGTTAATAGTTGGAATACTATTATTATTATAATTTAGCCCCTTCGGGGTGGAGTTTTCAAAAATCCTCTCTTAGTGCTCCTCTACACTCCCTTAGGAATCTTCACTCCAAATTTGAACTTTCTACGCTCAGTCAGTCAGTCACTCATTAAGCATGAATTTTATATATAGACTAGCTTTTGACCGCGACTTCGTCAGCGTGGTAAAGTTACTTTAAGCAGCATTTCTAAGGAATTTTTATTCATTATATCGTGTAAAATACCTGAAATAAAGTTTCATCCCCTATTTTATCCCCTTAGTGATGGAATTTATCAAAATTATTTCTTAGGAGATGCCTACGTCATAGTAGCATGCGGAGGATGAGCATGCGGAGTCGCAGCCCGATCGGTTTAAAATTG